TTTTCCTCCAGTTTCGTTTCTTTTCTTTTTTTTATAAGTTGTCTATTTTACCTACACATCCACACCTCCGCGATTATTCGTCCTAAAGGCCGAAAGAAGTCAAATATTAGGGCATGATGGATGGCATGAGCGCAAGGCCGATCTCTTCCGACGTCATGGCCGCGGAACCTCGGATAGACCCGGAGTTTGTTTCCCCATTCCCGTGACTAGTTAACTAGCTAGTACTAGTACTGAATAGTTAGTTATGAATATTATTGTTTATGAACATGACTAAGATATTGTGTACACATGGACCCGAAGCAGTGGCTGAGTCAGCCATCCGACCACACCGCCCACGCTAAGCCCAAAGCAGGCAAGACCACAAGTCGGCCAACTTCAATCAATCCGCTTCCTGCCATCCGAACCCGAACTCGCCTTTCTTGAGATCATTTCGTTTCGCTGCTTCTCCGCCGTTGTTTGCCCCTCCACTCCCGTGTCAATCAACTCCCGTCTACCGTCATCATGGTCGTCTACTACCAGCTCGCCGGCAAGCAGGTCGGCTCCCACGTGGTATGTCCCTAATGCTGCCTCGTCGGCTCTCCTGGCTCCAAATTCTGTTCGCCGCGTGACGGAACCGCGACGTTCCCAACGGCCTCCTGTGGAAGGTTTCCATTGCTGATCCTGTCTCTCCCCTAGCTCGCCATGGGTGTTCTCGGCTCCCTCTTCGGTGGTGTCTACCTCGCAACCCGCGGTGGCTCTCAGCCCAAGCAGGCCGCTCCCCCGATCCAGGCCTCTTCCAAGGATGAGGAGACCTTCATCCAGTATGTCCTCTGTGTCTCCGTTCTCTACCCTTTTCCCGGCGGGTGATGTCGGATGCTGTCTCGCTGTTTGCGATTGTCTCAGAGCGATGAGCTACGACAGTGCCCATGTGCCAGCATTGAGCTAGTACAACGCCTGGAAACAGAAGCACCACCCGGCCAATCTTCTATCAAACCGTGCAACGGGAGCTGTGCAACCTTGCTAACCATGCGGTCTACCACAGGGACTTCCTGAAACAAGTCAACGGAAGCGGGGAGGAGAAGAAGAGCGGCCATTAAGGTCTCGGAACGATGAGAGATGAATCGAGGACCGCCCCAGTGCCAACAGAACCTTGACGGCGACTCTCCCTGACTTCATGAGTGTCACTTGTATGATCCGAAACAGGGATGGCAACTGGGGCGGGTCTTGTATTGTGTGTCGGACTGCTGGACGGCTTGTGCCAGCGGCGAGGTGTGTGATCTGTACATATAGAGGTATACACCGCATTGAGCTATGTTCTTCTATGCTGGTAATCATCAACGAGAGTTGGAGAATCGTGTTCCGTGCACCATTTATTGGTTCCGTAGGGCGGTTCGACCGCCGATTCCTGTGTAGTGTAGACCGCTGACGGGCGACACCTCTGATGCACCTTTGCCGCAGCAATATAAACCTACTTCTAATACATCATCAAATCTGACTTCGCGCATCCGCAAAGTCGACAGAATCAGGCATCACCACCGGAGTCACCTGACCTCGCTGTAGTTTCCGGCCAGAAGATTCTCTCGATCCTTTCAGTCCTCATCCTTCACATCTGCAGACCCCTCAAGCCAACTGCAATCCACCGTAACAACCATGAAACCGCTGCCCTTCCCTCTTGCCCTGAATATTGGCACGGACATCGTTCATCTCCCACGTATCACGCGCCTCATCCACCGCCGCGACTACCTGACTCGCTTCACGCGGCGTATCCTCAACGACCACGAACAGCATGACTTCCGCACGCGCTTCGCCTTACCCGCTGCTATGAATTCGCCGAATCAGCGCCCCCTTCCGAGTTCCACGGACATGGCCCGCTGGCTCGCCGGTCGCTTCGCCGCCAAGGAAGCCGCACGCAAGGCTGCACCGAACGGAGCCGCGAGCCTGGGATGGAAGGACGTGATGGTGCGGGTCAGCGAAACGGACACGGGCAGACCGGAAGTGGTCTATCTGGACGGGGAGACGGCCCGCATTGGGAAGCTGTCCATCTCGCACGACGGGGACTACGTTGTTGCTACGGTGCTGGCAGCCGGATGAGGTTGATCTCTATAGCGTTGGATTACAATCCGTTCTGCCTGAGAGATCACAGCTCGAATCAGGTGGGATACTAGCTTTGCTCAATTGGTTCAGACCGCTTGTCAGATTGGTGGCTACGCGTCTCATCTACTGGCAGCAGGGTTGGGCACTGGGACTGAGGACGAGGTGCATCGGTGCGTCCACCCGTGGAGCGCTCGTTGCGACAAACCCAGCGACAGCTCAGCGATCTAATGGAAATCACTACGCAATTGGCGATATGGCTATAGTCCGACCAGGCACTTGGCACATCTGCAGCCCGCATGTGTGCTTTGGACGAGAATCGAGCCGAGGTACATTCCTACCATGGAACGAAATTTACGACGTCCTGTATGGACTGATTAGCAGTTCAACAGAGAACAGAACAACTCAACGGGGAAGCTGAATCCAAGACGCTTTTGTAGAGTGTAGTTTGGGTATTTATTGATCCGGTGGGACGGGGACATGAACCAGTCTTCCGATTTGTCCGCGCATCATCTCTCTTTCCCCATCCTCTTGGACCACAAGTATTTCCAATCATATCCACCAATGCATACTATTAGGACTGCGATATTCGAACTCAACTGGTGATATCAGATTTGAGTGTCCACCAGGGCGTATTGGATAGCAGTAATCGACATCTCAACCAACTGCCCGCATCGATTTGAGTTATCGCGGGGTAAAGAAAGAGTCTGTCAATACATTCGGCATCCAAACACCTCACTCCTTTCTCTGTAGATAAACATCGGCAATGCCTTTCTCCCATCACAGTCACTCCGGGCAATTCTGCCCGGGGCACGCCAAAGACTCGCTGGAGGAGGTCATCCAGCTCGCCATCCAAAAGAAATTCCAGGTCTTCTGCCTGACCGAACACATGCCGCGGGGCAAAGAGGATTTCTATCCCGAAGAGGTACTGCGTCAGACGGTCTACGTGAATTCTCACAGCTAATGACGGCAGTAGATTGAAGCGGGCAACACGGAGACTAGCCTGGTTGCCAACGAAGCCGCGTACTTTCAAGAAGCGCAACGGCTGCGCGAGAAGTATGCAGACCAGATCAAGATCCTAATCGGCTTTGAAATCGACTGGATCCGTCCGGAATCCCGTACGCTCATCGAGGCGTCCCTGGCGCGTCACCCCTTCGAGTTCTTCATGGGCTCTGTCCACCACACGCTGACGATCCCCATCGACTACGACCGGGAGATGTACGTGCAAGCGCGGGATCTGGCCGGCGGCACGGACGAGCAGCTCTTCCAGGTGTACTTCGACGAACAGTACGAGATGCTCCGACAGCTGAAGCCGCTCGTCGTGGGACATTTCGATCTCATCCGGTTGAAGAGCGACGATCCCGAGCGGAGCTTTACCCAGTGGCCTGCCGTCTGGGAGCGCATCCTGCGGAATCTGGATTTCGTCGCCTCGTACGGCGGGCTGTTGGAGTTGAACTCGGCTGCGCTGCGGAAGGGCATGAAGGAGCCGTATCCCAAGGCGGAGATTTGCAAGGTACGCTATGCACCCTTGAAGAAAACGACAGAGCGAAGACTAATGTGTGTAGGAATTTCTGGCCCGGGGAGGTCGTTTCTGTTTGTCCGATGATAGTCATGGACTCGACCAGGTGGGTTTGAACTTCCATCGTGTGCTAGCCTTTGTGGAAGACGTGGGCATCTTGACGTTGCATTACCTGGATTTGGCGGATGAGCCGGCCGTCGACGAGCGTTTTCCGCGGACGCAGATTCGGTCGATTCCGTTGGAGGAGCTGAAGAAATTGGCATTTTGGCAGTAGACTATGGAATTTGCGAGGCGTCGATGTTATATCTAGAGATACAGTTATGCATATCTGGCTGGAGCCATACCGAGCTACCATCTGTAGCTACTTATCAAGTTGTTTCATTTTGCTCAGTGAGCCTTGGATATGATTATGATATTCTATGAACTATGGCCCTCGCCACGACTGTTACGGGATTTATAACATGTCCTTGAGGAAACCTTTCTGTCTTAGCCAAGCTTTGCCTTCAGTCTTGCGAGTGAGTCCCTAGGGTTGGCGCTGCACTAGCCATTCAAGCCACAGGGTGACCAGGTAGGTGGCAGTGAATGTATCTTAATTGGAGGGGCACCTTGACTAATCTATACCATAGGTCCTGTCCTTATGGATCAGCAGCCTGTTAAACAGACCAAAGTATGTAGTTCCGTGTTTCCCGGTCATCTCATTACGCCCATGACCGCTAATACAAGGTAGGGATGGAATCAAGGACATGAAAGGAAAGAAAGCGTCAAGCGACCACTTGCTCCCACGTTTGATATATTCCGTGGGATTAATATATGAAGGGGAAGACGACCTGGAGACGACTCAAATCCGCTCAAGTCATTCTGTCCCTGCACCGACTTTCATGATGTCCATGTTGAGACGTTTGAAGGAGTGGCCCTTGAGATAAGTGGCCAACTTCCGATGACATACAAATCCAGACGACTGGTCCCGATAGAAAGTTTTGCGAGATTGCTCTCACAAAGCAACTCCACAATATCAGTTGATCCATGCAGGATGCTCAAAACGAGGTCTGAGACGTGACAAAGAACTGCCCCAGATCATTGCCGGAGAAGGGACCATACTGGAACCCATGATCTCTAAAGTTCTGGTAGACGTCGGAAGATTCAACGGTACGCACGCAGCACTTCTGGTAATATGTCCCCATTAGTGTTGTCTCCTTGTCATGGCCATATTATATTCCGATAAGGCCATGGCAATTTCCAGTCCAGGCTTTGGCCGTAGAGGAATGTAGGTTGAACCTCCAACGGCTCTCCTCATAGCTCTTCGCCGTCTCCACTGGACTCCGTCGTGGACGCGTCTCAAGATCCGTGCCACTAGTGACAGCGATATTAGACGAAACTTGAATAGCGGCAGGATAGACAGTTCGGCCATTGAGTTTGTGATCTAGATGTCAGTCACCTGGACACAGCACCGCCACTTCGGTGCCAATGGATCCCATTCACGAGACGGGTTGCCCAGAAGCTTAACATATCCATGCGATCTATGGCGGTAGCTTTGGCTCTCTGACTAGTATCTGGTAGAGTGGTCAGATGGATACCAGGGAGCATCGACAGGGCGCATGCAGTTGCGAGGTGAGGCTTTCGGGCAAACACCTGCCGAGAGGTCTAAGAGCATAATACAGGAAACAAGGCAAATGCAAGAGGGGCACCTTTGGGTATCATAGTCTATCATAAATACAATGCTGAACTTCATTAGATCATCCCAGAATATCACAACATGGCTCGGTAATTTATACATTGAATACCCGCTGAGTGAGGTCAATCGATATATTCAACGACCTCTTTGGTCCTATAACTGAATGTCAGGACCGAGCATCGATAGATATGGCTCGATAAAGAACTGGTCCCAGTCCACCGCCCAGTCCATATCTGGCACAGTCGCGTTGGTTTCGGATGCAGGCTGCGCCGGAAAGAATTGATAGTTGGCTTCGACAGCTTCCAACTGAGCAAGTTCTTTTCGCTTCTTCGCCATATTAAGACTGAGTAGATGCCGCGCCATCGACAACGCTTCACGCGTCAGCCCTGTATCGGCAGCCTTGACAAGGTTCTCCAAGCCGTTGAAGGCAGTGCCAATGTGGACAGAGGCGGCTGGCGTGTCGATGGCCAACAGGATACAGGCATACTGGAAAACGCTGCCGATGACGTTCCAAAACAGACGACCCTGGTTAGCTTGCTGCTCGGCTGCCTCCACAGCAGCGTTGCCGCTATTAATAATAAGCTCGATAACCTCGTCCGGTATGCGGATCTTGAGCTGGTAAAGGCGACGATAGAAGCAGAACGCGATGTCCGCCTTAGTCACCACCAGGAATGGATGTGTGGTTTGGAACACACCCAATACCTTGAGACGCTCAAATAGCTCCTCACTTGGAGTCGGGGGCTGCCATTCGAGCTGGAACGGAGAGTTGGGCGATGGAATAATCTGGATTAATTGAACAAATTGGTCGGCAATGGAACCTGATACTGGGATAATAGACTGGCAAGTCACGGCCCGAAAGTGTACAGGCGAACGATCGTACTCATAGGACAGCATGTTATGCCCAGCCCACGAGATCCAAAAAATCCTTCTCAGTCGATCGGAATCATGTCCAAGGCCCGCGGCGCCGGCGATCGACGCCATCTTCTTGATGTTCTCTTCCTCGTGCAGCCCTATCGCTTCACAGAGGTGCATTTGGGTGCACGAAGCGATCCAGGCATTGCTGGGGCGGGTTGTGGCCCGTAGGTAAAACACTCGCATGCCCCACGCGACAATATGGTCGATACCATGCAATCGCATAGAGGCCGGATCATCGAGAATGGCTTTGGCGTACTGCACCAGGTCAGACTCCCGCGGATGACTGTTAGAGGACAGGAACGACCCGAGAGCGGCTACACCAGCAGCCACAGCGGCAAAGGCGACCGCGTTGCTGCCGGAGGGACTATGATAATAATCTTGACATCGCTGGGCATAGATTCTCGGGTCTATCACGTCACCGACGGGACCCAATATTGAGAAGTACACTCCTGAGAAGAAGCCGAGGTCATTCTCCGAGATGAGATTCCCCAGAAAGCAGTGAGTGTTCGATGCCTCCTCAGGACGAATGCCAAAGTTGTAGGCAAAGGACCGCATTTTGGGAGGACTATCGGAGCCAAGAGCCACACCCAGGATGTGTGGAAATGCCATGGCCGCCGATGCCCCAGAGTGTCTAAACTTTTGCTCGTCAAAGATGCCCGGGGACGCGCCGGCCACAACGGTGGGACTCTTCGTCGACGAGCTATCGGCTTCGCGGGAGCTTCGCTCTATGTGAGACCAGCTGCCTGGATTGCGCGCTGAGGGGGCCTGGTTCGTCAGACGACTTTCACCTTCGAGGCTGACGCGCTTGGCTGAGGGCGGATAAAGTACACCACCACCCGTAGTATCAGCGATGTCGTCCTCAGTGTACCTGCAGTCATATCCATAAGTAGTGCACATGCCACAAGGATACACAGTGTCACATTTCCGCTTGCGCTGATGGCACGGGATACATGCCTTTCTCGCGCGCTTACGCTTGCCGACCGTAGTCGACATGACTGGCAAACGGCTCTGAGCTTCAAAAGCCTACTGCTGTGGGCATACAACTGGAGTAGAGATAATCTTCCGGCCCAGCATTTCGTGGATGGAGTTGATGCACTTATGGTGCGTGTGATTCATGAGGGAGATTTCTAGAGAATACAAGCGAGCACTTGAAAGGCACACGCATCACGTGACACCGGATGATATGGCTATTCAATACAATAGCCTGTCAAAGTATAGCAAACATGCGTTTGATGGTGTTGACACTATCGATTAATATGTGCTCAAGTGTCTCAGCGCCGTGCGGAAGACACCAAGCTATTGGAGTCGTAATATGCGTAATCCTCGTTGTCCGCCACCACAAACGTCTTAATCCTTGGAGCGAGGACAATCAGCACAGGGCTCACCGGGGCCAAACTGTTCAAATCGCACCTGATGCACTTGGTTGCTCCTCTACCCCTTCCACGAACCCATACGTATGGTCTCCTCCGAGCTCGTAGCGCAGAGCAGCTGCAGAAACACAGGTTGATACCTGACTGTATAGTACTGGCTTCCAGAGAAACATACCGGGTTGTGATTTGAAAATCTGCGGGTAAAACGTTAATCATCGTCACCAATACTTGCAGTATATCTCCAAGGAGATTTCTCGAGGGGGAGGTTTGATCTGCCAACTGACCTCGCTGTGAAATCCAGCACCGTGTAAGTAGAGAAAATACATATTGAAAACAAACCCGGGGTTTTCTGGTTGACCTGGCTCTTGTGTCTCGATCTAGGTGCTTCCAATATGGACATCATGGCACACCGCGACTTTAGAACGGATAATGGAGCAAGAAAGTCGACTGAAAACGTATGCGGAAAACAAAACCGATATGAATGAGCAAGTAGCGATGTGTCACTTGCCTTGAGATTCCTCAAGGATACATTCCTTGCTCAAGGGTTCTAGAGGATGATAATGGAGAGGAGGACTGCTATGACCCAATATCCTGAGGACCGCCTCAAGATTGATAGTTCTCATAATAGCACAAAGCGTAACTCTATATGCAAGATATACGAGGCTCTCGCACATCAGCCACGACTGACTGCTTCTCCAGTGACCCTACTCCTCTGTCCTCCTTCGTAATTGACTAACAGACATCACGCTGTTGCATCTACTTGGGGAGTTGTATGCAGAGGCTGCTCAGTCAACATACACGAGATTAATAATGAGGGAGTGTTGGATAGCAGGCCCATAGACATATAGCGCCTCACTGCGAGGCGCAATTGAGTATATATAAATTTGCACTCCTAGTTTGGATTTCTTTTCTATTATTATCATCCCGGAAATAGCAGATATGATCGGAGATTCACCAGTACGTCGGTCCGTATAATCACTGCCATGCGGCTTTAGTTGCGGCTTTACCTGCGGCTACTGCGGACTTAATCACTTAACGCCGCACCAGAGCCCTAACCAACACCATCGCTGCCTTTAATTTGACAGGCTTCGCCCGCTGTAGCTTCTTAGTTCTCCGCTCTAGTATCTCCTGGCGAATCAAGTTTGATGTTCTGGCTTCGTTAACTCGGATATTCTCCGTTTCTGAGCCCGATCAGATATAACCAAGGCTGACTGAGATGGAGAGAAATTCAGGGATTCAGAGAGCAATCGGAACTCTGGAAGGTATAAATAGACCAGCATTCTCTGCTCCAGAGAGAATTAGCCAGACAATCACCACCACTCTCTCACAAGCTTAAGTACTACCTCAACCGCCTCATTCGACCATAGCAGCAACAACAATTAATCGATTTGCAATAATCAACCGAACCATCATGCCCAAGTACGCCAAAGACCAGTCCGTCGACTTCAAAAACGTCATTGAAAGAGTCGCTATTGTTGGTGTAAGTAAAACGCAACTAGCTACTGTTATGTATACTACAACACTGACGAATATACTTAGGCTGGCGGTACAATTGGGTCGCACATTACCCACGCCCTTCTAAAGACAGGAAGACACAAAGTCACGGCTCTTTCCCGCAAGGACAGCAGTAACAAACTGCCTGAGGGCGTCCTAGTCGCCCCAGTCGATTACAATGATGAGGCCACCATTGTTGCTGCCCTCAAGGGCCAGCAATTCTTTATCATAACCTTGGCCCCTACTGCTCCCCGGGACACCCACAGTAAGCTCGTCCAGGCAGCCGCCAAAGCCGGTGTTCCCTACATTATGCCTAACGGGTACGGCGGCGACATTGATAACATCAAACTCGGCGTGGATACGCTGCTGGGGCCCGTAGCCAAAGCGAACAGGGACGAGATTGAGGGGCTCGGCATGCAGTGGATCACAGTATGCTGTGGGTTTTGGTACGATTACAGCTTGGCAGGCGGGGATGCGCGCTTTGGGTTCGACTTTGACAAGCGTTCCTTGACAATTTACGACAATGGCAATACCAAGAACTCTACTTCGACGTTATCGCAGGTGGGGCGCGCTGTGGCCAAGGTACTGAGCCTGAATGAGCTGCCTGAGGACGAAAACGATAAGAGCCTGACTCTGTCGACATTTCTCAACAAGGGCGTGTACATTAAGAGCTTTGTAGTCAGCCAAAACGACATGTTTGAGAGCGTCAAGCGCGTCACTGGCACTACTGACGATGACTGGACGATAACTTATGAGGACACCAAGAAGCGATACGAGGATGGCCTGGCGCAAGTTAAAGTAGGTAACATGGCTGGCTTTAGCAAGATGCTGTACGCAAGGGCGTTTTATCCGGATGATTCCAATGACCTCTCGGAGAAGGCACAGAATGACCTGCTTGGATTACCAGATGAGAACCTGGATGAGTCTACCAAGGCTGGGATAGATTTGGTCAAGGAGCTGCAGCGTCGTGTTGAGCGTATGGCGTCCTAAAAAACGACAAGTACATGAACGGAGTTTGGAATGGATTAATATATTCTTATTTAAACACGGGAATTACTTCGACGAGAAGTCTCTATTTTCAGAATCTAGTTCTATGTCTCAGACTTTAGTTCATATCCCGTTGTATCTGAGAGAGGGTAAATTGTTCGCCAATGCAATTTCAATATGCTATTTTCTATACTGAGCGATTGCCTTGCGTGGTTTTTTACATAGCTACTGTAGTCATTTTTTTCAAATTGCCCACGAATGGGTATAAGCGCGTTCTTCATGGTATACAGCTCCTACACTAGCCAAGTTTACACGATTATGGAAATTAAACAGTGCCTGGAGGGGCAATAATCATCAAACTGAGATAGCTCTTGATTGGAAGCACGGAAGGTTGTTTCGCATCGGCCTAAATCATATCCCCGTTGGGGATCTTGGTGCTGTTCCAGTCACATACAAGCCGAATGATGGCTTTACCAAGAGAGTTTCATATACCGACTAAAGCTGACCACGACAGACTGCATTCTATCCTATCCAAAGTATATTGCTGAACAAGAAGCCCTAGAACAGTCACTATCACCTAGGAAGATATTGTTGAGCCTGACTTGATTTAACCTGACTCGTAGGTGTAAGGATGTGGAGGCTTGAGCTCCTAAACCCCAAGTTTGGCCCTGCGAGTCAACCTAGTGGGCGAATGGAGCCCATAGAAACCCTGGACGATTATCCCTATCGTAACTTTTCACAACGGATGCTGCTAAGCGTGTAGACGATATTCCAAAGGATCAGCTGGTGCTCGTTGTATTACGGGCTCCTTCTACCATCCTCTCCTCGGGAATAAGTATGCCGGGGGTAGTATCATCGCGTGAGACTTGCAGTGACTGATTCCGGTGGAGTGTTTCATTTTTCTATTTCTGCATTCTAATCAAAGTATAAAGCGCTAATATTTTCCCAGCCAGGTGCCATAATTCGAACGTAATTCTCAGATTCTCTACTTATTTGTCCTGCGCTGCTACACATCACTTTGATTGTTTTATCTCTCTCATATCTGCCGTCACAAGGAGACACTTCTCTTTATTTCTTCTGGCCGTTTCCGGGTTTGCAGGTGGTGCCCTTTTGCATTACAACCTCGAAGCCCTTATCGTCGTCGGTGTGATCATCTAGCCTTACGAATATATCCGCCGCACAACAAACGACGGGAGTCCCATCGGCGACATCAACACCCAGGACATAATTTACAATCAAGGCGGTCTCCAGGACACTTTCATGGCGAACACCAAGACCCATATCGTTCCCCCCGGTGATTAGGTTGGCTTTACTGTGAACATCGAACTGGGTCACCCAGGTCCACTCGCTGTATACCTCAGCCGAGCACCGGATGGAATCGAAGCAAGCTCCTACGAAGGCGACCGTGACTGGTTCAAGGTCTACTCTATGACATACACGTATATTGATGAATCGGATATCCACTGGGCAAATCTCTATGGTGGTCAGCCAATTCGGAACTTCACTTTTCAGCTTCCATCCGATCTGCCCCCTGGCAATTATCTCATGCATGGGGAGCACATTGGGATTCACCAGGCTGGCACATATGGACAGGCTCAGTTCTACATCGGCTGTGCACAACTGAACGTCATAGGAGATGGCACGGGGGCTCCCAGCCCCATGGTCAAGATCCCAGGCGTTTATAACGGCTATGAGCCTGGTATCCTCGTCAATATTAGCAATCCTGTTCCAACAAGCTATGTTGCTCCTGGGCCTAGGACGTGGCCCAATAACTGTGAGGATGGAACACCTAATCTCGTCGGCCAGGTGAGTGACGGTGACTGCAGAGTGTAATTGCACCGCATCTTGCCATCATTCAGCGAATGCCGAATCGAGTGTGATAGCTTTTTTAATCCGGTGGGAAGGGCTTAGGTACCTAGCTTAGGGCTCAGTTCATTATGTGCGGATAAAACCTTTCCTCAGTGCACCTCGGCTTGGACGGCCTCAAGTGACAATTGTATCTACTCACTGAGTCTGTCCTTAACTGTGCTTATGGTAAGCCTCAGACTGCTGTCTTCGTAACCCTTCTGCATGACTTACCTGTGCTACATCGTCGTTCTTCATTAGCAGCGATCAACTCATCCTACAATTGTTATGTGTTTGTACATATAATATAAACACAAATATGTGATTTTATCTACGATGATGAGGTACATGCGTGCGCGCAGCTCTCACTTGTATGGAGGGGTTCGTGGACATGCAATACAAGCCGCCGGGCCTAGGCCCTTGAGCGCAGAATAGGATATCTTTACTATAGTTAATACCTTGATTAGCTATATGAATCTCTACAAAAATCTCCTTATTGGTGACTGGATTGGTACCCTAGATAAACTTAAAGAATATATACCTTTTACTGGCTCTCTAGACTAACAGGTAATAAAAATCTGGTTCATATTAGGAAAGTAGACCCTAGTCTTATAAATAAAAGGGCGGTTCTAATTCCCTATCAATAGCTTTAATAATAGATCCAAGGCAATAATTATCTCAGATAGCTGGTTATGTGCCTGGAAGAGTATATAGATACTTTTTGATAGAGTAAACTATATTATTTTGTCTGCTCTATGAAGTTCGAATTAAGAATATACCACTATAGATATAATGATAACTATAGCTGGTAGGCAAAGTAAAAAAAAAAAAAAAAAAGGAAAATTTAAAGTATAAGTAATTCAGTTAGAAGAAACATACTACAACTGCAAGGAGGACAACAGTGGGGGTCATCTATATTTCAAATAGGTAGGCCAACTCTGCCAATTATAGAAGAGGGAGATTCTCTTTTGTTACCTTATCCTAATTTAACTAGTATGAGTACTCTGTTTAAAAAGTATATTCTAGAAAAAGATAAACAGCTATGAGCGAATTCTGTATGGCACGAGTGTTATTACCGCCATTGCCTATAATATTAAGTTTTAAGTTTTGTTAAGGCTACGGAAACTACTTACTTATCTTATATTATTTTAATTTTTTCTATGGGCTATCTAGACTACTAATAGCTTACTAGTCCAGAGCACTGTGGATACTGCCCAATATGTAAAGTATACCTATCAGTGTCTACTTCGGCGATTTACAGTCAGAAGATTTGATAAAATAGGCGGTGGACTTGGAATATAATAGTATGATATAATAAATTAAGATATTATACTATAAGAAGGAAAATGATTTAGACAAGATCTATGAGCTGTATTATAATAAGTATCAGAAGGTTGCTAAAGACGAACTTAGTTATATTAAAAAAAGAGGGGACCGAGGAGGTCGATTGACTGTCTTAGCAAAAGGCCTTTGGTAGTAATTCTTCCTATAGGGTTTAGATTGGATAAAAACCCCAAAACATACCTTGGAGTTCCGAGGTCAAGTGTAGGTGTGCCAAAGCAAATATAAATACATAAACTATACTACAAATAACGTATTCACAATTATTGTACACTACTGAACAACACTTCAGTGGCATTCACGTATCGATTCCTTTCCTCGCAGACCAAGAAGCCCCGCCCCGTATCTTCTGGGTAAGAGGGAATGCTCAGGGCTCTATGGAAGAATGTATTTGGACTGGAATAGAACGAATCACTTGGGGTCCTAACCGGGATCTAAATAGGTAACCGCCCGTACACCTCAGGCTTCACACAATCCCACGGCGGCACATATAGCGTTGGCGCCTAGATCTTGCTGCACAAGATTAATTATCAAACTGCCGTATACACTAACAAAGTTTTCGCACTTCTGGCGATCCACCGGGAGCGAGCGACAAGCATTATCCAACGCCCCGACGATAGCATTCGGTTCGGGCTCAAGTGCCAGAATTGGTTCCAAGACCTGTGTACAAATGTTACATCCGAGGTCTCGTCGTAACAAATTATCTGCAGAGCCGGGAACAACAGGGACTTTTCGCCAAAATGGTCATTAGCATTGACAAATTGTCAAAATATTATGATAGGGGACGGGGAACGCACTGTTGGCGGCCAGGGCAAGGGTAAGACCGCCCATAAGGGAGGGGATAATGAGTTTGACCATGTTGCCAATTGTTGTATCCAAAGGTGTGAAGCGTTTGCAAAAAGAGAGATTTTTTTTTTTTTTTTTTGGATATTAATAGGAAATAAAATAGGATCAAGCAAAAACTAAGGGGTGAGCGAACTAAAATATAATAAGTCGACATTTTCTTGTCTCCTCGTATCCAGGCAATTTTCAGCTGAAGAATCAAAATAAATCTCTCCGATAATCAGACTAGTCAAGTTTAGAAGTGATTTACTCTGCTATTTAGCCTATTAGGGTTATAGTTCTGTAGATCTGTCGATCTCGATGGCTTCGGCGCGCTTTTACTTACTTTAGTCGAGTGGGGAACGATCGTATTTATCCCTGTGGAGCAGTTCGCTTAAGATCGAGAGTTGGACTATTGAGTGGTAAAGTTCTGGTTTTTTCCAGCTAGTGGCCTGCGTGGTCCTAAATAGTAAACCTTGACGGGCTAATGGCTCCTTATTGAGCGATCTGGAATTTCACGCCTCCCATGCTATGTATTACTTGCCGCTTTGTCTTATTTAAATCAGCTACGATACCTAGCTAGGTTCCTAGATCATTAGGTAAATACATTACAGTGCTTATTTAGGTAAGATAGGTGACCTAGGTAGTATAATCGATTCGGACTATCTAGGTAGTTGATACAATTGATTTAGATAATCTTTCTTATTAATTTGGGGAGTGTGAATTGTAAGCAAAAGGCCATGTAGTAATTCCTTCCCTGCGCATGCCTTCTGTCAGGTCCTTGAGCTGGCAGCCCCGATTACTTCATATAAGGCTATGATGGATACCGATTGAGCTAAGGAGGACTGGAAGAGCTATCATTATGCCATAATACTTAAAATCCGTAAAGGTTGAAGCATACAAGGGTCAATAGGAGAGCTGATAAATTATACTGCAAAAGTTATCTGAATGCGTAGCACTATGTACCTCACGATCGTCCGTAAAACCACCAAATGTCCCTCCCCAGCTGCTTGATCACATTAGTGTTTTCGCTAATAGACCACTCGCGGCGAGCGGTGGCGACTGCACGCCCGAGAGAGCAGATTCCCCTAGTTAAGGATCAGTCAAAACAATGGTGAAGGCAGGTAGAATAAATAACAGCTTCCATACACTTGTAGGCCCTGTCTGTCAAAGATAACCTTATCGGGGTCCCCCTGGGTATAGGCCTGGCCCCGTTGCCTCAGCTCCCTGTCAAACCCTCCGGGATTAGCAATCCGATCCTCATGACCTAAGAGGGGGGGCGGGGCAACTGATAAGTAAGTTGATCTTTACTTACCTGACAATCCGTAGCACTTCGTCTTTGACATAATCCACTTCCCACTGCTCAAGCTGGCCTTGAAAGAGATTTAGCGGATAGCCGGGCAGCCGGGTCATAGCCACGATGTCCAGTACGCCCCCAGGATACTCAAATTCCGGGCCTTGCACCTCGCTGCTACGCTCGAGCATGTGCGGGAGGCCCTTCACATCTTTCCCTGCCTCGAGTGCTTGGACCTCTGCTTCGATGGCGGTACGTCCGAGCCTGTGGAATATGCGCCGGCGTACGTCTACAGTGGCGAGAATGGGGTGTTGTCTATGGTTGTCTTTCGGTTAGCTTCAGGATGTCTAGACCTTCTGTCATTCACTGAAAATAGGGGAGAATGTGGAGCCACACTCAATAAAGAACTTGATAATAACCTCGAAGCCGTCACTGGTCCTAGTCGCCCAAAGCACTGCGCGTCGCTGATTGTAAGAGACGTTCATGCTTTCTCCCACAAGACGTTCCAGACGAAACCCTTTAGTGCCAACGACATAGACCTTTCCTTCTAGGTGCCCCAATGTCTCTTCCTCTAGTTCGGGGTAGCCCTCGGGCTCAGAAGCCGGTTCATTCATGGTGTCAGGTTCTGGGTAGTGGGAGTACGAGTCTATGGAGAGAAGGGCGAATGAGAAAAACGAAGATGATGCGAAGTGAGAAGTGTTAGTTGGCCAAGTTTGAGATATTGGCGGGAGAGGGTCCAGGTGATGTCAGGTGATGGAATTGTGACGATCCAACTGGTACAGTTTGTTTGATAGTTACTCATTCTCAGCCCTAACCCGACAAACCCACAATAAACGACACCCGGAAGAGCAGACTCACTTATTGTATATACAAATCCTAGTACTTGACTAGACTGACCAGTCTAGCTATGTGGGAATATTCATTAGTGTTTTGGGAAGGAGGTTTGTGTTATCAAGTTGTGTTGTGTTAAGCGGATGAAACGTGTTGCGCTGCAATATATTGATGCTTCCTATATATATACACCTTGCTTATGTTGATCAAATTCTATCTATTCGCTTTACTCAAAGTTAAGAGCTACTATGTCTATCCTATCACCCTATACCGCCGTCCCAGAGCTCCTCCTCCGGCCAGGATCAAAAACTGGTCGTTTACGGATACAAGGAAAAGTTCTATCAGATGATCAAGTGATAGAATGGAAGTGCCTCGCAGCCCAAATACGGTCAGTGTCTATCACGAGCTTCGGGCCACCGCCACCTCTCAATCCCGCGGTGCCAGTAGACAATGAGCACTATGTAGAAGCCACAGAAGCTGGAGTGGCCGCCCGGATTAACGGCCGAATGCTTGACCCGCTAGGCCGACTCTTCGCCTACCAAGGGCTTCGACTACGATTGCCGATCGAGCAACAGGGCAAAAGGCAATCAAGGGCTTCGAACCCGACTGCATAGTTCAGATTTCGGCGGATGATGGAACATGCCGTGTACCGGGCGAATTTAAAACCCCCTGGACCACCGACTTGTCCGACCTCGACCCGGATGACGAGCTTCAAGTCCTTGGTAAGTTACAAGTTAATAGACCTATAGAGAAAGAGTACTATTAATAAGAGATAAATACTAGCGCAAATTGCGGGCTACATGAATGCGTATAGCTGCCGGTTCGGGTTTGTGTGTACATACGATGCCGTTATACTCCTGAAAAGGGTCGGGACGTACAGGTTTATGGTGTCCGAGCCATTTAAAGCCATCCAGCCCTCGCCGGGGGGGCGCAATCCCCAGGTCAGTGCCACCGAGGCGTTGTGGTGGGTAGCACTGCAGGCCCGGTCCAACTGGAAATGGACTGGGCCTGCAGCTGACCCCAATAACCTGGTAAACACACAATACCAAAGATTATTAGAGATGCGATATTATGTGAGGGCTAATAAGGATATACAGCTCAATGGTAGCTTTATTCTCGGGCATAACCTTAGGAACCACCGGTAATGAAGGACCTTGTGGGTGAGGGCGTAATGCAGCAGGAAATGGAATAGCATGTACATATCAGCATTTTAGCCTTCGCTAACTTTTGTGAAAGGCCACTGGTATTAGAACGCCGTCTCAGTGTTAGCGGTATTTAAGAGGGGTGTAGTGGTAGAAGAGACAACAAATGTTCAGGCTGCTGACAGAGACCATAAGTACTGAAAAGGAATTAATGGCTTCATGGATGGGCTGCGTATATTACTTTGAGTCTGGGTATGGGATGACTGTTCTCAATGTACATTCCCAACAATTCATGATTTAATAAGAGACGCAAAGGTCGATTACCGCACTAATCAAAACATTTAATAGAGACCAATCTTGAGTACGGTTCCGTTGGTTCTCGCATATAATCGTGTCCATCCTTGCTGAAGAGAAGAACAAAAACAGCCGCCCCCAGCCTTAATACCTGCGTCTACTCTCAATTAGAATTTAAAGCTTCTAGATTCCCTCAATGTTTACCAATCGCTCCTGTGGCTTGACTCAGAAAAGGACAGCCTTCTCCCGATCGTGCTTTCCAAATAATACCCCGAACAAAACCGTTGTCACGACCATGACGCCCGCCAACGACGAATACATGATAACCAGATAAGGGTCCTTGGTGATGGGCGTAAACGCCATGTCCAGGCATGCCCCAACTCCAGCCGTGGCCATCCACACCGATTGAACCACCGATTCCATCGTACTTGGGGGCTTGATTGTAGGCATATTCTGTGCCCGTGGTGAAACAGAAGATTTCTGCAATCGCACCGAGAACGTAGATTGGCGCTTGCAGGAACATGGAGATCTGATTGGAAATCTGGCCATGATCTGACTCCACACACGCCAAGGGACGGTCGTAACAGGGACCCGCGGAGTAAACTAATTTCTGCAGGATCGCGGTGTAGGCCATAGCGAGGGTGAGAAACAGGAATGCCATGACAATCCGGGCCATGGGCCCGAATCCTATCCTGCGCCGGGTCAAGAATGGGTATAGGCCCCTTGAGACCACCGGAGTCAGGATAATGCTGGAAATAGGGTTGAGTGACTTGATGGTGTCGTTCGGAACCCCAGAATTAACCATCTGTCCGGCCTGGGAAATGAGGTTATTGAAGGTCTGATTCAGGCACAACCAATTAATTGGAAGGAGGAGACTAGAAGAGGATATCATGTTAGTTGTCAATGTCCTTAAATCGACACCTTTACGCTGGGGACGTACAAAACACGGCATGCGAGCAATCCACTTTTCAACTCGTCAATGAATGTGTTGGTCCAAGTCACCTGTCGGTGGTGCTTCTCTTGTTGTTTTCCTGGCTTGGCCTCGTCCATCTGGAACCCTTCACGAATACCATACACCATTGCTCTGATGGCTTGTGGCAGCACAGAGCCACTTGGTGGGCGCCGGACTGATTGTGAGAACGATTGACATCTATTTCTGGCGTCGGTGTAAGGCGTTACTTACCAAACGTATGTCGCCACACCAGCAATGGCACAATCGACAGAGCCACCGCGCACAAGGGCACCAGATACGCGACCCAGTATCCAACATACTTCTCAAGAATCGTGGTGATTAGGGCCGATAGCCCACGTACATTCACCACCCTAGCCCGAAGGTGTCAACAGCGCTAGATGACGAAACGAGACACGGGGAGGAAATACCAATAGTACACATTGTAGATGCCTTGAACTGTCAGCCCTCGATCTGTGATGACCTTTTGTCCGTTCTTTAGCACCTTGACCTTGGGAGTTATTTCGGTGTGCTGCTCCACTGTGGCCGGTCAATTCGAAGAGATCGTCAACTCCAGGCGACTCGTGCGACATACCGATCAATGGAGCGATGGCCATGATAGCGACAGCTAACCCACCTTCTGTAGTACCGGGAATCTTACTGGAGGGAGAATGCTGGATGTAATATTCTACTCGAGATTAGAATGCCTAATCCAGCTATTAAGTCTATTGGCAGCAAGACTTACACAAAGAGCTGGTCGCCCTATCCCAGATAAAGCGCTTGGCAGCACCTATAACTACAATCAGCTATACTGGGAATGGCATGTTATCTACTATGGGAAGTAGATCTTCCTTGTTATAACTACTTACTACTGTTTAATATTAATATAGTTCCGTATTATTTTTATTGGATATGATCATTTTCTGTCCTTCAATATTATTTGACATGCTCAATGTGTCTGACAGGCGTCACTATGCTTCGATACCAGGTGAAAAATAGAGATTGAATCGATGACCTCGGGTTGGGAGAGTATCCACTTGGTTGAGGGGGAAGAATTACAACAGAATATATTGGAAGCCGATGGTCAATTGAATACATTTAATAGGCAACTCAATCGGAGGATCTGGTATGCATCCTTTATTGATATGTTTATTTTATTCCGACAGGGCTCGGAGTACAAGGCTAAAATAAGATGGGGTTATCCCGATCGGAGTAAATCTGTAATTAGTAACTAGCAGAGATTCCGATACTTCTTCTGCCTTCTCCTATTACTACCAACAATCCAAGTGAATAAGAAAATAAGATAATACTCCAGATAGGATGATGCTCTATCGCAGAGACTTTTTACTATAAGATACATTTCTTAAGATGTGATCCGGAAGAATAGTAAGCCAATCTTCTGTGAGCCGTGTCATGTCTCCAAAATCCGGCATAACTATTAACAACCGATATAGACAATATAATATCAGAGATTCTTAAGTTCTAAGATATATACAGACTTCTCTGGACTTGGTTATTGATTCGATCACGATATGAATCTGGATATAAACACAGAGCCTGTAAGGTGCGGGCTGACAGTACCAGTGCTACTATCATCCGGCCCCCTTCACTCGATCACGGAAGAAGGTAGTGGCTTCCGTAGCCCTCGCATGACTTCACTACCAGTCCATATTCCAAACAAATCGGTTTGCTCCTATCAGACGGATGCAAACCTCTCTTGGAGATCTGAGGGGCTGGAAACACATAGAGCGAAGCCGCGCTCAATCTCGGATAATTGCGTAGTATACTTATTTGTGGCCTTTTCGAAGTCTGCCACGGGCGACATTGGGCACCCAAGTATCTCTGCTACATTGGCTACTGCAGTGACCAGTCTGTTGTTTCTGGCAATGACGCTATTGATATGAAGCGCTTTCAATTTTCGGGTTAGTCGGTCACCAAGTGGGTTGGTATCAAATGGGACGAAGGCTTCCCGTAAGTGGGCATCGAGACTCTTGTCATCGAGGTAAGTCGTTTCTAACCAAGATAGCTAATTGGCAGCAGAGTCCTTGGACGACTACCCGAGTGTAACAGTTGTAAAATATTGGCAGAGAAGAACTACGGCCCTAGTTAGCTCGCGTATTTGATAATCTAAGCAGTTGCAGAATAGGATATTATTCACGCCTTAAAAGCTCATATAAGCCATCAATTCAGGTATAAGCTTAGGAAGTAGTATTTTAAAATATAATCTATTGGACGCAGAGTAAGATAAATGGGTAACTTTTTTTTTATCAAGTAGAATAAGCTTGTCAATATCCTTAATATCTCCTCAACCTTCGGGTACTATATCATTAGGGACAGAAAGCCCCTGCTATTGTATGATATGCAGGCTTGGAAGAATATTCCTATACTTGACTAGTATTTCTGCGATGAGCGCAGTATATATATTGCGCAGAATCTTCCCTTAGACGGCCGGGAGGAGACTATGTCTTTTATTATCAATCGAGATGGGATTTGTTGCCCGATTGATGGTAACAGAGGAGGATATCTTTGAATACTCTTGGTCTACGCTGTTCATGTGGTCAACAGAACTTCAAGCAAAGGCCCAACCAATCAATCCGGCGAAAGCGTGTCAGTCTGAAGGTATTGACAAGCATGGAATTCAGATCCGATGCGGCTAATGCATCTTTCTGGACCCTTCTGTACCAAATCAATGCGGCTATGATGCAACTTTAAGGCGAATGCATTGTTTTCAAAACAGTCATTACGTCTCTCTTAGAATCCTGATATTACTTGTATACTGTATAATGTCGGTGCACTATCTGGTGCCCATAATGAAGCTTCTTATTCTTGGCTCTCTAAGCTATCTAAGCCTAGGAAGCTCTCTATTGTGGGACCGCATAGCGGCCGGAAAAACTCTCATACCGGGCCTATCAGCAGCCAGACGGAATCCCCTAGCCACCATATAACGGAGAAATAAAGCCTTCAGCCTATGGGGCGTATCCGGCTTCAGAACTCGACGCAGGGCACCTTGCGAATGCGCTAGGGATCCTAACTATACAATCATAATTAAAAGTCGTTATCGTCCAGGGACAATAGGATATAAATTTGTAGTGGGGGTTTTCCTTTTCACACTATACTAATGCTCCTGTGCAGCTTGCAGCTTCTTGAAATGGCTCCACTGTTGTGATGAAAGGGAAGGGAAATGGTGGAACAAAACACGTATACACACACACACACACACACACACACACACACAGACACAGAGAGAGAGAGAGAGAGAGAGAGACGGAGTGAACATAGAAATTGGATTGTAGTGTGATTTCAAACCCATACCTATATTTACTATAGAAATTAGTTCTCAAGGGTAACTAGCCAGATCAGGAGGCGACCCACCCGTTGGTATATGATCGGAAGCGTAAGCATTATTCGCTAAATCTTTCCCCATAGCCGAATATAGTCCAATTCTGGGGTCTATCGCCAAGGTCAACTAGAGACGGAACTGAGAGGCTCAGCATGCAGTGGAGCACAGTGTGCTGTAGGTTCTGGTACGATTATAGCTTGGTGAACAGAGATGCGCGCGATCAGGTGATGATGTGCGAGGAAATCACATAAATTTATAAGAATGAAAGCTCTTTTCATACCCTTCAACAGTACATGGGGATATTTACCAAGTCAATCGTTTGATTTTCCATATTCTGTTAAGCAGTATTACTGAGAACATGACAATCATCTGCGAGATTCGGGTCGTCTTCTTACGACGCTGGGGGTTTGTTAACCCTTATCCTTGTCAATATCTCTATTAGACCTGTTATATACCCTGTCTGTGGGTCCTGCTAATGTGATTTTTGCACTGCCATGATTTGATGCTATAGTACGTCTCGTATTACGATTTCGTTAGTTGACTGGGACGTCATGCAACAGATCTCTTACGGCTAGGATGCGAAAGGTAAGCATGTGGATGGAACCAAGGCCAGCATATAGAAACACGGGATTCAGTATCATTGGTCCGCTCGTGAAGAAGAAATGGGGATGCGTCCAGCGCTGTGCTTTTACAGGGATCCGCTCCTCTCCTCCCCATCTGAAAGATTCAGTGCATGCTGGGATTGCATTAGGCGCTGGGGGCCTTATCGGGGGATCCGAACAGCGAATGTCACTCGTAGAATTAGAAACCGCTGTAGTGTTGGTTTTAAATTTCTATCTGGCAAAGGAGTTTTTGGTTTAGCCGAGCCGTTTACATACGTTACTAGCGGAGATTCGGCTAGCTCATCCCAGCGACAGCAACCCCCTCGCCATTGATCAGGATAATTTGCGGAAAGATCACAGCCATGCTTATAAGTACAACTACCTCATAATCAGTAGTTGGGTACACGACACGAGGAAGAGTCCAAAGTAGATTGAGAGTACGTATATTCTCTTGGTCTCAAGGTGGGAATGCAAATTCATCTCTCTAAACCCATACCACGCCACTAACAGTCACTCCGACGTCAATAGTTATAAAACTGCAGATGGCTTCTGCACAACTGGGGGAGTCCTTCAGGCCGGAAACCGATTATGAACGATGGCTTCGAGAGCAAGATAGACACTATAGGCCAGGATCTCGCCCAGTATATGGACCAGACAGGCAGAATCTCGACGATTCCATTGCGAATGGAAAATGGAGAGGTCGGTTCAGCGAAGGCACTGGCCTCAATTGTTACTCAGTGATGTGGAACATTGTTCTGTCGATATTACTTATAATGGTCATCATAAAGACAGCGAGGTCATGTCGGAAGCGGCGCCAGCAGGGTGGCATTTCATTTTCTGGGAAAACTGGGGACAAAATAAGGAACGATGCATAACGCCAACAGGTCCCTTTTGGATACTGTGATGTAGCCAGAGCGACTTGAATACTGGAAAGTCAAGCAATATTGAGTCTGACATATGAAAATGCGTAGATTATTCGAACATGTCTTGTGTATTTGATATATTGATTACATGGTGTACTCTACGTATTGGACATGGTGACAATGTTTGCTCGGCGTTGTAGTACCGTGATCGAGGAATCTGATAGAGGTAAATATAGATGATAGCCTTCCATGGGGTGAGTCTTATGGCTGTAAACTAGCGTTAGTATATTGGGACAATTTGAGGCTATTAAGAGCGCACACCCCTTCCACGGCAGGCATTTGCCTGTCTGATGTACGCTTACTCTCAATTACCACGCTTAAGACTCGGCCCAAGGGTACATCTAGAGTGCGGATAGGAATTTTGGCCAGGCGTGATTGAGGGGGCACAAGTGAGGCTCCTTGATTTGCGCATATGCCGCACTACGTTCTTCTACGAACATAACTCCGTCGGACAGCCACTTCTTCTACTCGCCTCTTTTGCTTGTCCGGATTTTATTCCTGCATTACTGCCTTGGCTCGTCTGCTGTCTGAAAGTTGGGCGTTAGGCATAAAGATTTAGCGCGTGGACAAACATGCTACTACAGTCATTGGTGGTCGGACCGGACATGCCGAGGACATACGTACAGCACCGTCAGTGGCTCTGTATTTGTTAAAATCTCTACTATCATGCGGAGAAGCAGTGAGTCCTTGAGTAGGGTGCAGCGGAACCTCGTCCGTCGAGCGGAAGGGCCGTCAGCATAGGTTCGGGAAGCTATAGTTTTAGGCTCGGACCCCGGGTTTAGCGTTCAAAGCTGGACCACCCTACACGCTAGTATAGGCCTTAGTCGAACTTTCCAGTTATTCCCATGGTATTCGTCCCTTTAAACCTACAAGCTACATACTTAGTAAGCAGACATCACAAGGATGAGTATGTTAGTCGGTTTCTATTACCTACTCCCAATCCTGACCTTGGCTTTAGGGCTGTTGCTATTCAGAGGAAGATTGATTGATTGATTGATTGATTGATTAATTGATGCTCTCTTCTGGAACCTTGAGGGTTTATTGTACAAATTGAACATCAGATTGATTGGAAATCAATCTGATTCTATACGGAATGTATTCCGAATATGAAGCTCTATAGCATATTGATTAAGCCTCAATTTCTACCGAGTGCTCCCCGATCCATTATGGTTACCTGGCTAAGTAGACGTTTCACTAAGGCTCAAGAGGAAGCAGAATCCTGCTTGGTTGATGATTGATCAAACCTTTTGATGAAGGGGCTTCACATCACGACTGTTGACCAGCCAGTTTCCATTAGATAATCTAATCTTTTGCTCAGCAACTTAACTACCCATCAAGACATGAAGCGCATTTCTGGAACACAGGCATTCAAAGCGTGCACACCCCAAGCCAAACCCACCAGCGAATGAGCACCTCAGCACCGGCGTCGCTCCACGATAATGCTTATGCAGATAGGGAATCCAACAAAACTCACCATGCCACTTATGATTTAGACGGCAAAGTAAAAGAGAACGGATGCGTCGGATGTAACCTTGTCTTTTGACACTGCCCTTGCGTAGATTCTCATTGGAGGACCACCCCTGTAGGCCACTTATTTTCCCTCCGTGATAGCAAGGGCTTCGCCACTTTGGATGACCAGGGCAGAAGAGACAGGCTCGCGAGATATTTCCACAAAAAAAAAAAGAAAAGAAAAGAAAAGAAAAAAAAGAAAACAAAGGATAACTTACCGATGGAAATCAACAAGTATTATCATACGACGCTGTATGCCCTACTCAAGCACATACTTTGCAAAGTTTGCCCAGGCCATTTACCTACATAGCTACCTTTGCCCCACAGAGGATCAACACTAAATAACGTACTATGTAATCGGAACCTGCCATTTTTTGATTAAACTCCCCATCTATTCCTTGTACCTTAGCTTGCTAGTGTGATTAGTTGAGAAAGGCAACAAGAATATTAAAAAGGAAAAAAAAAAAAAAAAAAGAAAAGGAAAAAGAATGACTAGTGCATAATGGACGCGAATTGAGTACTTTGTTCGAGCAGATGAAAAGTGGGAAGTCCCTGTTCGCCATACCTGCTATTGGTTGGAGAACGTTATGGTTGTATTTGTCAATCAATGTCGTCTGCTCCTGAGTTGGCCCCGAGCAGACCCTATGCAGAGTCCAGCGTCTCGGAGAAAACATGTTCCTCAGGGACACACATCCACTTGATAGACATGTTCATACTAAAAGATTAGTCTGAGGATTCCATAACTTGCGTAAAGCAACATTTCGAGTACAAAAGGGCGCCTGGCATTATAGTTTGCCGGATCTCTCGTCTACCCAAAGAAGGATTCGCGGACAATGACATGGTTCATTGCAAAACGATGACTATTTCTGCCATTGACTTAACCATATCTAACGCGCCACCTTTGGAATTTCCAAGATATACTATGTTTAGTTGCGGACGCTTTGATGGCTGGTAATATATATGCCGCTATTCCAAAAAAGAAATTGAATATCTATGACCTAAATCCGAACCGTTTCATCAAGACGGGGCTGTAAGGCTGCCAGCTTCTCTAGAAGGAGTCCTGGGTGGTAGTAGTAGAAGATTTCGGTCCGTGAGGACTACGCACTGATAACACACTCACTCCCGCCAGTGTGGGCAGTCCACAAATTGACACATGTGCTTGATATCGGAGCTGACAGATCAGGAGCAAAACCGCATACAACCGATGCATTCAGTGGTTCATGCTAGTATTCATACGTTTTATCGTAATAATATCCTGTCTTGCTCCGCTAGTATAGGAGGCACAACCCCTGTCATGCACATTATATTATCCAACCGCTGGGTATAGCACACTAATTAAGCATCCCCTAATCGATCATTGGCAGAAATACCTCTTCTAGCACTACACAAACTGCCTAGGTTTTATGTCAGATGAGGAATTCTTCTCGCTTTGGTTTTCTTAGATATTTGCGCGTGGGGAGGTCAGACGCAACAACCGAGCCTTGCTCAAAGGTCAGTTTGCTTGCCGTCTCGCACTGCCAGTGGATCCGCCGCGGGCATATTGAGGGGAACATGTTATCTGGCGTTACTGCAAGGACCTTCCTCCCACGGAGCTATAGAATACAATACAGGTCAGGAGGAACTTTTGTTCTTTATTCTGCCGAGCCTAACTGCCATTGACCTTCGGTCTCTGTAACGGTGGCAGGATCCTTCTGATTAGGTCTTACAAGGTGATACCCTTCAGGGTACGTAGGGCAAGGGGGTTCCAATACAGTAGTCGACACACCCCACATCTAGCATTTGCACCGAGGAAGCCACCATACTTCCGTCCATGGTGCTAGACTAAGATAGAAGGCCCGGGAGAATGTGGTCTATCATCAAGGACGGAAGATAGTCTTTCAATGCTCTCGTGTCTCCAGAACCATAATAAGGCTCATGGTATACTATAGCAACCTTTATATGGAAAGTGTTAGGTGCTCGTGTATACCTACCGGAACCTAGTGTTTGAATAACTGCATCGCATTGAAATTTATCGCATATTGGCCTGTATTACAGGCCATATACTCCTTTGTGCAGGTCTTGATGCCAGGCTCGGCAAAACACCTGCATAACTAATCTACGAACATCTCCGTAGGAAAAGTTACGGATCCTTCCAAGGTGGCAATCCGCCTAATTTCGCCCGTAAGCGGGCTCTTGAAAAGTGGAAGTGATGACATATGGCTTTTCTTGAAGGAGTAATGCCATTGCATCACGCAGCATTGGCCACTCTACTTTAGTATCCATTGAATCTTAGGTAATTGTCCTAAGAGGAGCTGACCTCGCTCATCCAAGAGGTATAAATATATCGAAAGATTCCCCCCAAGGAATGAGATTTTCTTGGATACCAAAGCCTCTTGAATACCAAAGCCTCTTGGATAACAAACCCTCTTGAACAACCAACAACCTCAAATCAAACTTCATTCACGTCCTCCACAATGAAGGTCACCGCCATCTTCTACACTCTTCTTGCTGCCACTGCCGTCAGCGCTTCAGCAATGCCTCAAAACGACTTCGAGATCCTGGACACCTGCGGCTCTGGCTATGGTGGTGACCAGAGACGTACCAATAGCCCTTGTGCATCGTCCAACGGAGATAGACACTTCTGCGGCTGTGATAGGACAGGCGTTGTATGTTATCGTATTCTGGCCAATCTGATCAAGGATTAAGTCATCTTTGCTAACATGCCTTTCCGTCAACAGGTCCAGTGCAAGGGGGGCAAGTGGACTGAGATCCAAGACTGCCACCGGGGCACCTGCCATGGTGGCAATAACGGCGGAGCTGTTTGCTAAGTCGAGAGGCCATTGCGTACGCTACCAGTCGTACTGGAGTGGTATGTTAGCCGCAACTACTAGGGCGGTCTAGTTAGTAAAGGCCCTGAGGTCAAGTCAGTGGAAGGATTCAACATCTATATCTCTGCTGAAACTTTTTTGTTGTTTTGGTTTTGTTGTGCAATACTGAGTTTTTGTGCCAATATACTCGTCATTCATTAGGCGCTAGATATTTCTAAAATCATCAGTGCTGTTAGTGATTATCTATACTACTGAGTTAGGATTATCCTGAGTTAAGTGTACTCTGTTTGGTATTATGTGCTAAGCGTATGCCGCAGGAAAGCAGAACAGATAATCTCTATCACATTTGCTTCCCCAAGCTGATGGCCACATGTAGCGATCTAGTAAGCATGAGCTAAAGCTATATTACTTTGTATGTGCGCCTCTTTTCATTTGACCTTGAACCTTACACTCCCTTTTCCAGTCTTTCCTTTTTCACCACAACCCGGAGAACCGCACGCATCACTGTCAGGTTTTGGTTTCGAGGTCTTTGCCCCATCAAATAGTTGGCCATAAAGTAAAATATCATTGATCTTTCCTCCGATGCGATAGAAATAACGGCGCATCTCCTGTATCCCATATAAAACGGCCACTTTAATATGTCTGATATCTCAGCAACAAGATGTCTTGAGAGCTGGAGCTGGTACTCAGACATTGAAATTATATGATATTATTAGATACAAGTGTGGTCCCAAGTAGCGGTATGCTATGAGAGGTGAAAAGTTGTGCCAACCTCCTACGAAGCATAGGAAGTCGCTACGTCCTTTATATGCACAAGGTAGCTAAGCGTCATAGGGTTAAGCCCGTAGTGCTTCCGTCAGTTTGCATCCCATGGTAGTAAGAGTCTTGCTGAGAGGAGAATGCTGGATATAATTCTCTGCTCGGGATTAGAATGCCTTGTCCAGCTATTAAGTCAAATGACAGTAAGACTTATATAAAGGGCCGGTTACCCTAAACTAAGTAAACTACTCGACAGCTGCTATAAACATAATCAGCCATACTGGGAAGGATACGTCGTCAACCACAGAAGATAAATTTAATTTGTTATATATACTTACTCCTGTTTAAAATTACTATAGGTTTCCCTTACTTTTATTGGATATGACTACTTTCTGTCCTTCGATACCGTCTGACATGCTTATTGTATCTGACTGGCGTAGCTATACCTACTTGATACCAGTGGAAAGTAGAGATTGAATCGATAACAACAGGTTGGGCAAGTATCCATTTGATTGAGGGGAAGAATTAGAGAAGAATCTATTGAAGCGGCCGAACAACTATAATAGGCAACCAACTTAGTGGGAGGATCTGGTATGAACCCTTTATTTAGGTGTTGTATTTATTTCATCCCGACAGGGCTCGGAATATAACCTTAGATAAGATAGGGTTCAACCCGAGCGGAGTAAATCTGCGATTAGTAACCGAGAGGCACTCCGACTCTTTTTCTACCTCCTCCGCTATGACTACCATCGACAAGCCGAGAATAAGAGAATAAGGCGATACTCAATCACAGGGTCTATTTACTATGAAGAACATTTCTCGAGGCATGGTTCGGAAGAATGGTAAACTAATATCTTGTGAACCGTGTCGCATCTCCAAAATCCGGTGTGATCATCAACAACCGACATGTAGACGATGTGATATCAGGGGTTTAACTTCTAAGGTATACACAAACTCTTTTGATCCTGGTTCTGAATTCAATGCCGTTCTGAACATGGATATGAACCCAGGGCCTTTAAAACGCAGACTAACAGTACCAGTGCTACTATCATCCAGCCCCTTTAACCAGACCACGAAAGAAGACACGGGCACATCGTAGCGTATCTCCTGCCAACGCATCGCGTGAGGATGAGGTCTTCGACGCCTCTACCAGCCAGGGTGATAGCATCGTACCAACTGGGCCCCAGATGAGATCGACGCCTACCTCCCAGCCAACTTATTTGGGACCCACCAGCTTTATGTCAACGTTTCACCAGGATCAACAGGATATGAGCCTCTCAATACCGAAAACAGCCCATGCATCTACCCTGCGCAAGGCTTGGAGTGCCGACTTCACTCACGTATTTCCCCGACTGGTGCAGCTTCTGCGGCCCCTTAGGCTCTATGAAGATTTAGTGACCGACAAATACTATCGAAGTTCGTTCACGGTAATCCCAGCTCCTCTTATGCTTACGCCTATAAGGTTGCTTCGAAACCACTGGGACAGGGAGGGATGGCCGCAAGAGGGCTTAGGATCCCAGATCACTCAGAACACAGCCGCCCAATCGATCAAGGTGGAAGCGAACATGACAACGGACCAGTTTTACCATTCGTTCACGGGTGCGAATCTGCGATGGGAGTTTGTCGGCCTCATATTCGCCATGGCGGGACTCGGTGCCAGCGTGTCGTCTTCCTCCCCATTGTACTCTCTGAATGGCAAGGATGAAATCAGCTCAGATGCTTTTGCCATGGAGATGGCAGCTGCAAGTCATGCGTGTCTTGAAATCTGCAGGCAGTACGACAATGTGAATGACTTGGTTGTTTGGCTTAACTACGCGTATTACGTATTGGCATCAAATATAATGGGAGAGACAAGTAATGCCAATACACTGCATAACGCAATACGAAAGGCTAACAGAGAATAGGTCATCAGATTTACGCGCAGTTTGGGGACTTGGTCTCCTGCATTCACGCCATGGGCCAACATCGTTCACACCCTCCTGAGTCGTCTATCCCATTTTTCCTCTCGGAGACCCGCAGGAGGGTTTTCGCAGCGTCATATCGCACCGATAAGAACCTCGCTACTTTCCTGGGACGGCCGCCTCGACTTCCCTACCATTATTGTGACGTGGAACTACCATTGGATCTCGATGACCATAGTCTCGTCCTGGATAGTCTTGCCCTCGATAAGGCTGTTAGGCAGCTTACAGCGGATGGGTGGGGTACGTTCAACGGTGGCCTTCGGCCTGCTACAGTCATCCGGCTGCGATACATGATTGCGAGGCTGCGAGAGCAGGTGATGGAACTGTCCTTGGGGCGGGGCTCAACTGGTTCCAGAGAAAATGAACTCCAGTAGGATGAATGGCGTAGACTTCTCGCTCAGTCTAGCGAAACTAATATGCTTGTAGGGCTACCTACCAAGAGTGTAAGCGATTGTGGGATAGAGTCCCCAGTGAGTTTCACTACAGCAAACACTCCTGGGAGGTTCTAGGCCCGCACTTGTCCATAATAAGTCTGGTCATCCATCTGGAGTACCTCCATACGGTGTTTCAGGTCGAGCGCATCCGTTGCAGTGAGAGTCCCGATGCCATGAGAGATCTTCTGGACTCGGCCATGCAGATCGTCTCGGCAGTCACGGACTTTGCAAAGCAACGCGATCAGGAAAGCAGCATCCGGGAGCAGTACACGTGGATTGTAAGTTATTACAACCTGTTTTCATCTCTGTCTTCCACACTCTAACCTGTAGGGGCCAACTAGTTTCTCTTTTATGCTCTCCCGGCAGCAGGCGTCGTTGCAACGGAACTCCATCGCTGTACAGTGTCCAGTGTGCCACTACCATGTTCCATCCCCCGATCCAGGATTATCCGTGATCTAAGCCTGCTTGTGTCCTGGTTTGAAAGTGCTAATCTACTGACTAGTGGGACACATAAGGCGTGCGTGGAAGTCACTAAGGCAATGGTCAAGCTCTTAGATGATACTTTAGATTACCCATCAGGCGCGCAGACGACAGATGGATCACAGCCCAGCACAGGCAATCAGCCTGCATCGAACCACGGTGATCGAATCCGGGATAGTTCCCATTCGATCGGAGTGTCCTTAAATGCCTACGAACAAGGTGAGACATTACCGAACGTGGATACTCTTGAAACCAGTGAGGACTTCTTAAAGTGGCTGGACGAGTTGGGGTTGGACACCAGCATGCCAGAGTTCTTTCGGTGGCAGTAGATGCATTAGCCATTATCAGGTTCTATTTAAGCTTTATACGACAGCGTATGTGGGCACATTGATTGAATATGCCCTGTCCATTGTTATTTGTGTAGAATAATGCAGTGTTTATAACTTCACAGTCTCCGTATCAACGCCTCTCGATCAGCGGCCTCAGCCATCTAACACCCTATTACCACATCATCAATCCCTAATCTAATAAATGATATTGTTTTCTAATCCTAAATTAAGTTATCAGGCACATCACGCTGCTTTTCCTATGCCTGAGCAACTTATTCCCAGGCTGTAGGCACAGCACAACCTATCATGCTTCTCGCCGCAAGAGGATGTCGTCCATGACTTTTGGATACTCGTCCCTGAACTTCTCTGCCGGGTTAGCTGAAGTGAGAATCCCCCCACGCTCCGGGATAACTAACATGAGTACACCGTCATGCTGCGGTCCCCGCATACATGGCTGGGATAGAGCTTGCATGCGGGCTTCGTCCCCCAGTGCATAGAGCACATGGAGAGCAAAGTAGTCGACCCCGTAAGTCCACGCAATAGACATGAGGCCATAATATCTAGGTGGGTGGGGGTTGACCTCGAGGAGGAACACGCCTGGCATTAACCCTTGCTTCTCATCCCTCGTTACGTTGTAGCGCAGGTCCAGTGTCCCATTTTCTTTCACATATTTCATAGTGGAATGCCTGTCATTTACTTTAATATAGAAGAGTCCACTCCTGAACTTTATATAGAGAATGCGGTCCAATAGTACCTGGTACAGAAGATCCTGCTCGCTGGGTAGTAGCTGTAATAGATAGATAAACGCAGTCTCTTAGAAAGTATCAGCTGTTATAGCTTCTGAACTGTCTTGGAAAGTTATTGGATATATTAGAGAACAGAATCTCTCTGTCCCAGAGAACAAAGTTCAAATCAACCTCCGGTCTGTCAATATAGGGCTCAATAAAAATATCCGAAGTGACAGAAACTGTTCCTTCACACCGGTTAGTACTGTATCCTAGTTTTTCCACTGCCTGGAATAGCTGCATCTCTGTGGATACCTTAGACACGCAGTGGCTACCAGCATGGAGCGGAACTCTAACGAAATTTCTTGAGAAGCCATGATCATGGTGGTGCCCTTGCGTAGAGAATGGACTGCGAGGATGAAAACAAGTCTGGCTGCGATGTGTGGGGTATCGAGATCCCCGACCTCTCACAGGACTTTCTAAGTAAAGAATTTTTGAGTGGCTAATATTTTGTTATACTACGTTACGTGGCACATCGTGGCTGTCTGTTATCTATATATGGGTCATTCGAAATGAACTTCAAGTTATGTGAGAATTTCTACTACGTGACAAAGAGCCATATACGAAGAAGAGAAGGCAAAGCTATATGAGCGTCTGTTATTAAGCTATATCGGAGTTGAATTGAGCATACGGCATGATGTTTGGTTACATTAGGTGGTTATAAAAAGATCTGCTGAATGCATTATTTAAAGCATCTCTGACTGGTGACACCAGTAGCCCTATCGAACAAAAGCCTACGAGCACCTCGACGCCTCCCCTTCTGGTTCTAATTGGTGAGCAGCGCCGCCCTGAGCTCGCGCGACGGGTTGATGGGGGTGACAATAATAAATATAATTTGGAATATTTTTTTTATCTCTATTGTGTAAGGCCCTGGATTTGCTATCTATATGAGGATAATATATTGTTCTGTAACTGTTTATCTTATAGTAACTAGGGCAGTTCCCTAGGGAATTAATTATGTTGATCTCGGTAAGTAATACAGACTTGGTCGGTTGGTTGGTTGAATTCATACGATGACCCCTCGCCTAGGCGATATGCAGGATCCCACTATCTAGTCCTGTGATATATATCTAAATACATGATCCATTACTTTCCGACAAATTTAGAGTCTTGTTATGGCCTGTGGTGGCCTTGATGCCTGGCGTTACGTTCTGTTGCTCTGTGGCGCGCGGCTTTGAAACCTCTGCGCTGCCTCTGCGAAGTCCAGTACTGCGCCGACAATGCTACCATCTAGTATATTATCCTGCTTATCTGGCTTACGTTGTGATCCTCCTCCCAGCATACTTGACATTTTATTGAAAGTACTCCTAATCTTCGTCCGCAGTGTTCGGCGGGGACTATTCAATCCTGGACAGTTAACTAGGATATGAACGACTGTTTCTGCTGCTCTGTATTCATATTTGTTGTCTTCTCTAAAGCGATGTATCTTGGCGTGTGTTGCTAGCTATGAGTGGCCAGTCCGGAGTTGGATGAGCAGGTAGGCTCGGTTCTGTGGTAGTGAGCCATAGAGGCTCCGGGTATGGATTGAGGGTAGGTTCTTGTCTATCTGCCGGAGGTGGCTATCTTTCGGGGACGCCCCCTATTTATCTTCCTATTGTTTCTGGATTCCTTTGCGGGTGAATCCCTTTTCTCGCGAGAGAAGGTGCTGAAATGGGTGCTACTTGTTGGGACTGACTGCCTCCTTCTTGGCTAGTTGATCTGCTACTTTATTGCCGGGGTCACCGTAGTGCCCTGGAACCTATTGGAGGCGAAGAAGGATCCCCCGTTCATCTAGTTCTCTAGCGGAGTGGGTAATACGCTGGATGATTCGTTACCTTGAATTATTCTTGGGTTCGCTATGGCTTGTAGTGCTGACATGCTGTCACTTAGGATAGTTGCCGGTTCGTGTTGCATAATTGGGGGTTCTTGTTTGTCGTAGCCAGCTGAAGAACCATGCTGATGGCATAGTAGATCGCCATCGGCTCGGCTGCATAACGGCTTCACCACCTACACTCTTTCATAGTTTCCCAAGCCCTAATACCAAGATATACTATTCCCTTTTTGGAAGGTTTAAAAGAACTGTAGGTCATGGCGTGGTAACGTACGGTAGCGATATCAACGTAGATACAGAGCTGTAAGTTACAAGTTTCCCACCTAAGTTCCCCCTTGTATACTCTATCTTATTCAGAAGCGGCCGACTGTGACCATCACCAATGGCGCCCAACCCTCGCTCGGGCAACTCTTGGTCTAATTCATGATATGATAATCGATTCCTAGTCTAGCCGCTGGCAAAGAATAGACTGCGTGTCCGGTGGCCCCGGGATGCTAGACCGGCTGCCTGTGAGGTGCTGATTTTGATCATGGCATTGTGGGTCAAAGTAGGTGGTGCACATGACACCCGAGGCGACTTGGATGGATCCCACCTCAAGAGGCATGGTATTGGGATCGATGACGGTACACTGTCCTATAGAATTGATTTGCTGCGACGGCCCTGCAAACTGAGGGTCGAGGTAAACAGTTGCCTATGTAAAGCAAAATTAGAAACTTGTCCCCTTATTTAAGAAATATAGAGTAACGTACGACGGGAGATTGAGCGACTACGGCGCTGGCAAAGGTAATAGAGAGGAGCTGAGAGAAACGCATGGCGACTGTTTATGTTGTTATATCTGTGTTGCGTGGTTGACGGTGTTGAGCTCTGTGAAAGGATATACGGCTCCGTGTATGGGTGTGTAGTCTGCTATTGAATCGAGTTATTTATAATCCGCTTAATTCTGAGCATGTTAAACTCACACGTGTTTCTCTGGGACACAATAGCTTAACTGCCAAGTGGGATTTGGTTTAGTATCGATTCTGATAGATATGACGTTAATAATTGCTTGGGGATTGCTGGCAGAAATGAGGGGGGTTTATCGTCATTTTATATCTTGCACAGCTAGCTTAACCTTGAGTGATAGATCAAATATAATTCTGTATACTGTGATCCCGTGAACCTTAATTTTGAAGACCCCTTGCTCCATTCTTACCAATGAAGCGTTTGTTCCAGACCGCTTTTCAGGTTCATGGCTAATATACGTTGATCGTTTTCCCTTTTTCAATATCTGCATATTTATCTCATATTTTAGCTATACCACCGCACAAAATCTGTAATATAGATATAGATAATGTATTTTTCTTCTTTTACTCTACTCTTATTTGTTACCGCGATAGTATGCTATTGGATTGATGACACCAGTCTCGTGCTATGCGAAAAGAGAATAGCTGTTTAGCCTTTTTGGCATTCCGTCTTTCGATAATGGATCTTTAGTAGTGGGAAAGTTTGTTGTAACGAACTCTGCTGCAGCTATCTAGCTGGGGGTATTGGATCTCTTTCTATTGGAAAGTTTTTATCCCTTTAGCTGATCGACCTAGATTACCATTTTTTAGTAGAAAGAACGAGATATATACTGGATGGGATACTTGGTAGATACATACAATGCTTATTATGATTAATTATCATAAATAGCGGCCTATTAGAATTTAGGGCACTGTACTAGGTCCTGGCCAACACAGGCTATTGATCCCTTTACGGTATTAAGTATATTTAGATCACCGAGAGTTTGTATCCTGTGGTATAACTAAAATATAAGAGAAATATATAGATATATAAAAAGGAAAAGGATCAATATAGTATTAGCCATAGTATTTCTAATCAGACTGATATTCTTTGTATATATAGCCTACACTTACCCCAACAGTACTTTATTGATTGTAGGCCTCGATTATTTGTTTTTAACACATATCTTTTAAGACAATCTATTACCTCTAAGATCACAAAGCAAGATGTTCGCAGGATGAAGATCATTGCTCTCCTCTCTACATTTATCTTTACCGCCTTTGTGGTCGCAGGACCTGGGCAGGATAGACAGATTAACAAAAGACAAGTATATATTTGACCCCTTCTACGAAAGAGAAGTTATTAGAGAATATAGAGGTTGATAGTAGTGGGATATAGATAGAACATATATATCTTCCTCCCCTTCCACTGAAGAGATGACTAGAGAATATAGAGACCAAGAGTAGTGGAATATAGATAGCCTGTATATATCTAGACCCCCTAATTAAGAATATTATGATGAACAAAGAAGCCTAGAGAAAGACGGTTTGGTTCGGCAGGCCGCGGTCCAACGTTACTAATACAGAGTGAGTAATGAATTGGATGCACAGGCATTCCGAGAGAAGACGGAGTAAATGTTCCCTCCTAGGACTCTCTGTATGGATGTTCTTGATGATGCCTCTAATCCCTTCAGTGGTTCGGAGAAGACAACAGCCTGGGTGACCTTGGAGTGCTTGTTGGAAGTTGATAAGCACGGTAAATTCACCGTTCTCAATACGCACCGACTGCATGATCATTCATCTGAATGTTGACATCTCGGATGTCTCCAGTAAAATTGATGTTCATAATGCTCAAGGAACAACCAGTGTTTATATGTTTTAACTTGTATTTATCAACTAGATCTATTCCTATATACAGAACTAGAATTATGACTCTTTAGATATCACTTTACCCCTATGCCACTATATTGTTGTACTGTATAACTTGCATTACCTGTAAAAATCAAAAAGAGATTATCAATATACTTGTTCATATGATGCTATTCCATATTTTTTGTCAAAAGAATGAAAGTAAGCTTAGTAATATTTATATATAAGATTTCAACTACTAGTATATTATCTAGTGTGTTATCATAGATGACATCCTTAGTATTTGCTCGCGAGTCGCACAATACGATGTTATGCACGCTTGTCCAACAACCCACCACACCAACATAAATTATAATACATTACAATTCGATTTCTGCCTTTCTCCGACGATAACTCAAGCAACACATGGGATGAAGAAGATTCCCAATGCCAAAATGAATGAAGGTCGGGTTGTCTTGAAGGTCAGGCAACTTCCAATCATAGTTCAACAGCAGGAAACAAAGTGCAATCTTCAACTCATTGCTCGCCAGGAACCTTCCTGGACATCCATGATCTCCGTAGCCGAATCCCAGATGCTCCGGAGTCATGGAGGTGTGTTGCCATTTGTTAGATTTCCCGGCCTCATTCCTCAGCTTCAAAAAGCGATAAGCATCGAACGTCTCCGGCTCCGGGTACAGATCCGGATCGCTAAAGCGTCCTGCAATCCAGATGCGAGATCCCTTGGGTAACACTGTGCCGTCCGAAAGGGTGACATCCCCGTACAGGTAGCGGTTGACGGAAGCTGCAGAAGCAGGATGCATGCGTTGCGACTCCTTAAGGAAGCTGTCCATCAACCTCATCCTAGGCAGGGTAGTCCGCGTCCAACCCTCGCTTTTCACCTCCCGCACAATCTCCTCTCGCAGAGCCTGGAAGACTTCCGGATGTTGGCACAAATCGACGAGAGCCTGCGAGAGAGCTTCGGTCGTTGTGTGAATGCCAACAACACTCATGCCCAGCTGGCCTGCCGCATAGTCCATGTCGACAGCTCGTGCTTGAGCCACCATCCATCCGATCAAGTCTGTCATCTTCTCGGGTTTTCCTCCTGCTGCAAGTGCCTTCCGCACTTCCGCTTTCCTTTCTTCGATCACTGGCTGCACTATTCTGCGTGTATCACGGACTTGGCTACGAAGCTGCTTATAGAGCGGGTTTAACCAAAATGTTAGCAGTCGCCGTAGACTGGAACCCTGACGCATTGCCATGGATGCCTGAAACAGATTGACGGTATGGCTCTGCGCTATCTCAAGCCATTTGGGATCGCGACAGAGCTCAGGGCCAAGAAAGACCCTCGAGGAAAGGCGGGAGATGTAGTAGCCTGCCCGAGACTTGATGGAGATGGTCTGCCACTCTTTCTCGTCCCCGAAAACTGCAGGAGTTGCCAACCTCGTTTCCTCGACCAAGGAATCTGTCACAGCTCCCATGGACTGCGTGAGATTAATGCGGATCGCATCGACAACGACACGTTCATGGTTGCTAAGAAAAGTCATGCCATCAAATCCTGGCCAGCCCGCAAAATTATCGCGAGTCTGGGTTTGGATCAAGTTCGCCACCTCATTCTTTCGGAACTCCTCGGTGAAGCGATTTGGTAGCATAATCTAAAGGAAAGAACCGTGTCAGCGCCCAGATAGCCAGCCGAACTCATACTGTTACTTTTCAAAAGTGCATCCTCGACCTCTTCGTACCTTTGGCCCTGTTCCAGTCATGACTTGAAACGCACCCTGATGCGCCTTCAGGCCCTTTGCCATAACCCTAGGGCCATGCTTCATCCATGAATCCTTCGGGCTTAGGCCTTCCTCTTCGAGGCCGACGAGCGGGAAGCCTTTCAAAGGTCGTTCTATGTCCGCCTGCTTCTTCGCATGATAAGCGACAGCAAGTATCACAGCAGCTGCCACGACTGGCAGATAGACTACAGTGACATGGTATAGCGCCTGGTACACCGTTTGAAGTGACATTTTGGGCGATGAGACTTTACCAGTGGATTGAAGATGTAAAAGCCTACGTTGTTTGTGTAGGCCCTTTTGCATCTCAAGAAATTTACGCTAAATGAAACACGCTGCCAGGCATAAATAATAATGTAAGCGCCTTTTGTCAGCATTAAGACTGATGACCACAAACGCCCTAGAACTGAACTCCTTGGTGTGAGTGCGCAGCGAACGTATTGCCAGGAATAGTAAGCCATCCTCGTAAAAGCCTTGCCGATAATTGGGCTGTGCTGTAAATTTAGAAAGAATCAGAATGGTGACCCTCTCGCTTAGCTTACCAAGGTGGAGATGGGAGGACCCGAATGGCTTATGCAGATGATGTGAATCTTAGCGCCTTCCGATGTAATCACCATCTCTCAACGTGTTCGCATAATGCTTGGAAACTCAGGCTAGAGGTGCAAATATCAAGATTGTCCCTCAGGCCTGCAGCTTCGTATCACCTTTGGATCCAAACCTATGCGCAACTCGATATCCAACCAATCTGGATCAATATGGCACTACCTGTAAATGTCGGGATCAAGGCCATTGAGATATACTTTCCTGCTCAGGTCCGTATCCAAGACAAGATATAAACCAAGATCAGCCGAATATTTTCTTTTCCTAACAATGAGTGAACGTAGTGTGTCGACCAAGAAGAGCTTGAGAGGTATGATGGCGTCAGCAAAGGAAAGTACACTGTTGGCTTGGGACAGACGAGAATGAGCTTCTGCGATGACAGAGAGGGTAAGATACTTGCAAAAAGCGACATACTTCCCAAACTCGAGTGCTAAGGTGGTTCAAATCAAGACATCAACTCCATCGCTCTTACTGCAGTGTCGGGACTCCTGCACAAGTACGATATCGATCCAAGATCTATTGGCCGACTTGAAGTGGGCACAGAGACGATGCTTGACAAGTCAAAGTCAGTCAAATCGGTTCTCATGCAGCTTTTTGAACACTGCAACACAAACATCGAGGGCGTGGATACCATCAACGCTTGTTATGGCGGAACGAACGCGCTCTTCAACGCTGTCAACTGGGTAGAGTCGCGTGCTTGGGACGGCAGAGACGCCATTGTCGTCGCAGGGGATATTGCACTGTATGAGAAGGGCAACGCAAGGCCAACTGGAGGTGCAGGCTGTGTAGCCATGTTAGTAGGCCCTAATGCTGTCCTAGCTCTCGAGCCTGGCTTGCGGGGTTCCTATTCTCGACATGCTTATGACTTCTACAAGCCCTACTTCGCGGTTGAGTATCCTTACGTTGATGGTCATTTGTCCTTGAACTGCTACACGGAGGCTGTCGACGGTTGCTATAAAGCTTATCTAGAACGTTTTGAGACTGAAGGCCTAGGCCACGCCGTTGGGGAGGCCATGCAGGCAACTACGAATGGCTACACTGGCCTTAATGGCCACAAAAGTCAACAGATATTGCCTGCAGATAAGTTCGACTACATGTGTTTTCATGCCCCAACCTGCAAATTAGTGACCAAGTCATACGCTCGCTTATTCTACCGCGACTTCTTGTCTGATCCGGATAACGAACTTTTCAAAGCGATTCCTGCAGAGTTCAGATCTGTAGGTTATGCGTCCAGTCTCAACGACAAGACGATTGAAAAGACTTTCATGACGCTGTCTCGGGAACGTTTCAAAAACCGGGTAGAGCCCTCCATGTATATCCCAACTCAGTGCGGCAACATGTATTGCGGAAGTCTTTACTCCGGCCTGTGCAGTCTGCTGGGTCTTGTCCACAGCGATCAGCTACAAGGCAAGCGTATTGGCATGTTCAGCTATGGTAGCGGGCTTGCTAGTACCATGTTCAGCTGGCGGGTCGTTGGGAGTACCGAAAATATTCGAGCCAATCTCGACTTGAAGAAGAGACTAAGCGAGAGGCGAGTTGTGTCTCCTGAAGCATATGATGAAGTAAGTTCCATCTCAAAACATCTGGATGAAAGGGCCCAAAGACCTAACTATGTCTTTTTGCCCAGGCATGCCGTCTTCGAGCGTTTGCTCACCAGCAAAGCCCTTATCAACCCATCGGAAGCTTGACTGGCCTCTCCAAGGATACTTATTATCTTACTCACGTTGACAAGATGTTTAGGAGGACGTATGGGGTCAAATAATATGACTGTATTTACACCTGCATAGCTCGCTTAATTGGTACTTGCGGAAAATTTGTGGAATCGGAAGACCTGACATTACAATGCAGCCATGCTGAGACGTATGGTCACTGTTTGAACTTCAACGCTACATCTTCCTATTCTACGACACTATAAACGCATGTAGCATGACCTGCCAAAAGATGATGCAGAGTGTGTGCTGACTTGTAAGCATGCTGACTGGGTGATAAGAAATAAGCGTTTTCCAGCACGGCAACGATCTACTATGCTTATTACTTAGCGTAACTATGAATATCAGTCTTGTAACCTGTAATCACCAATTGGCAAGGTTAAACGTGGAGTTATTCGTTGTAAAAGCGGCCCAGACTGTTGTGCTTTATCGCTGCAATTAGCTGGCACTCCATTTTGCACACGCCGGGGATCATGTTTCAGCAACATAACAGTATGAGTTTAATTTACATGTCTGGCGCAGCGGCGTTGATGTATCTGCTGTGCTTGGCTATTTATCGTGGTATGCAAGTAAAGTCCCAGAAGAGGAGTTGGAGGTCTTTGCCATATACTAATATAACAGTATTCTTCTAAGTGTATCTTTCTCCGCTCTCTCGAATACCAGGACCCAAGCTCGCCGGTAAGACAAGGCGATACACTATGAGTATTATGAAAGTCGAATCTTAATCTTCTCTCAGCATTGACCTACTGGTACGAGACCTACTATGAAGTTTACAAGGGGGGGCAGTACTTTCGCGTTATCGATGACATGCATGCTAAATATGGTGAGGATATTGTCCATCATGAGAATTTATCCCATCGCCTTCTTGCTCACTTCCAAGACTCCAGGCCCGGTTGTGCGAATCACTCCGAATGAGCTGCATTTTGATGATCCAGAGTTCAATGATGTACTTTATCCCAGTGCGGGTAAGAGAAAGATAGACAGGCCCGAATATGCTGCGGCGAGGGCTGGGAGTAAGTTCCAAGTCTTCAATTCACTGGGGTGGATTCTTCCTTCAGCTCACCTGCTAATGAGCTCCCGTCTTCAGCTCCTGGATCCATTGTTGCCACCGCACAGCATGATGTCCATCGACGACGCCGAAACGCGCTCAACTCTTTCTTTTCTGGTGCAAGCGTTCGCCGGTTGGAGCCCATCATCCAAGAGCACATGGACAAGCTGCTAGTTCGGATGCAAAAGTCCGGCGCACAATGTCAAGTTATTAAACCATATCACATATTTAAAGCGTGCGCGAGCGACATTATCACACTTTATGCCTTTGGAGATTCTTTCCATTTTATGGATCGGCCTGATTATGGACAACCTTACTTCCGGGCAGGAGAGGCATTTAACAGCATGACGCACATCTTCGGTGCTTTCCCATGGCTGCTCACCCTCGCGACAACGGCGCCGGGATGGTTAGTTAAGTATCTCAAACCAGAGATGACTGAGTTTGTGGACCGCCGAGAGGTAGGTACCTGACTCAAATAGATGGTTTTTTTTTTTTCTCGCCTCAAGATTGCTGCTGATTTGTTGCGCATACAGTGGTGGACTCAGAAGGTCCGAGAAATTAGAAATTCTAATGACCCAGAGCGAGCGAAGAATACCATCTTCGGGGGTATACTAGATAGTACTCTATCGGCCGCGGATAAGACGGACGAGAGATTGGCAAATGAGGCACAATTGGTCGTCTTTGCTGGAGAAGGCACAACGGGTGAGAGTTGCGTTTCGTGTAAAAGCTGAATAAGTGCTAATCTGGACACAATCCACAAGCGTATACCCTCACATCGGCTATCTATCATCTGCTGGCAAAACCGGAGATCCTACAGAAGGTCAAGGACGAGCTCGCCGCGGTGGTGGGTGATGGGCGTCAGATTCCAACGTTTCAAGAGCTCGACAGACTTCGATACTTGAATGCGGTGATCAACGAGGTCATCCGCTTACATCCTGGCGCAATGCACCGTCAAATACGCGTCTGCCCCAACGACCCCATCATATACATAGACAGGGCACGAGGTGTAGAGCATGTCGTCCCACCCGGGACAGTTTATGCTATATCGCCTCTAACTAGCCATATGAACGGAAACGTATTTAAAGACCCATACGAGTTCATCCCAGAGCGGTGGATTGACCATCCTGAAATTTCAAAAGCATTTATGGGCTTCTCTCGAGGCACAAGAGCATGTGTAGGGTAAGCAGATCTTTGATAATCCAAGCTGCCCTAGCCCGGCCGACTACTTAACGACCAAGTCGCTGACCTTAGTTTTAGAATAACACTGGCTCGGCGTGAATTGACAGCTACTTTGGCGACTATATTCATCAAGTATGACCTGTACCGCGGTCAACAAGGCCCAACTCTGGAACTCTACGATACAGTCCGCGCAAGGGACATTGATGCAGCTAAGGACTATATCACCCCGCTGCCTGCCAAGGGAAGTTTGGGACTACGCGTAAGGATCCGGAACTAAAATATCATCTTCAAGTCGTGTACAGGGTCGATAAGCAAGGCCCCAATGCAAGATGTCAGTAGGAAGAGGTATAAGAGTATGAAGAAAAATGTCAAGCGAGGTGCTCAAGGACCAAAGGACCGTTTATCAAACCTGTAGAAAAAAGCTGTGGATTATTGTCTCGTCCTCGGAAGGTGCTTCGGACTATAGGTAGTATGATCTCGTTCATACGCTTAGCAAATATATCTTCTAGGTTGCTATCGCTATCTAAATCTGTTCTGATGGTGTCCTGTAATACCTATCCGACCAGCACTAACTTAGTGAGGTTGGTTCTACGTGAGTTCGTGTCCGCATCAGCTACACAGTGGCTAAAAAAGATATCTCATACCCAAAAGGTTCCCTGCACTGTCCATTCTACTCTAACATAGCTTCGTGTGTACAACCGCCGTCATGTCAATTCACATAGTCTGATTTCACAAGAAAGCTACTAGCACCACTGAGACATTGGACTGCTTCTGTTACCATCTCTTCGATTATGTCCGCCGCAGATTGCTGCCCATTGTTAATCAGGCCAGATGCAATGCTCATGGGTCTGTTGTTGAGAGGATTGTTGCGGTTAGCTAGCAATAACCGTAAGGTTTGGGTGAGAAAGATTAGTTGCTACACACCTCATCGCCGACTGCTGTAGGATCTCTGTGGGGACACCGCCAGCTCCGCGAATCTTTTGGATCTCATGGTCCATGGGTACGATACCTTTGGACAGCAATTCTTCGAGCTCATGCCTACGGTTACATTCCCAGTTTCGAACGTAAGGGGTAGCAGCCGCGCGCAGTGGTCTTCCAGTCCAAATAGTTGATCTGATGGTGCTATCAAAGTTTGCGTCGATAATCCTGTCGCCCAAGGTGATTGTCATTATAGATCATGATGAAGTACAGCACCCTGGCATAGCGTACTTCTCAATAAAAGAGGCAACCTACATTTTCTTTGATTCTTCAAGAGCACTAGACTCCTTGGCAGTGACAAACCTCGTCCCGACCCAGACGGCAGAAGCTCCATACATGAAGGATGCGGCAACTCCTCGGCCATCGCAAATTCCTCCAGCAGCGACGAGCTGTACGGGCTGCCCAGTCAAAGGAGACTTGTACTTTTTCACCATATCAGCGCAAGCCGGCACCAAGACACTGCAAATGTGACATTCTCAGTCTCAGTGATCCAATAAATAGATCTCCCCCCTTTCCGTAATCCTCTGGCTCTTGGAAATGGATGATGATGATGATAATGATAGACGCACCTAGCTGGGATCTCCCCAGTATGACCACCGGCTTCTGAACCCTGGGCACAGATGATGTCGGCACCAGCGGCACAGGCTTTGGCGACATGTTTTGGGTGACCAACTAGATTCATGTAAAAGACGCCATTGGCATGAAGCTTAGCAACGACATCTGTGGAAGCAACACCGACTGCGGAAACGAATAGCTTGGCGCCGCTGCAAGCAACAATGTCAATAAGCTCATTCAATTTGCCTCCGGTGTAATCCCTCTGGAAGGAAGTTAGAGCACTGAGAAATGTTTCATCCAGCCTGGGGTCATGTAGGGGAACCTCTAACATTTGTTTTTCGTGCTGATCCACCAACTTGGGGCAAAAGAAGGCTCACTCCGAATGGAAGTGATGAGTCCTGGAGTCGAATCTGCCGAAATGGATGATATGTAAGAAATGTGTTCTACTCTAATCATGATCGGCTCCGATCCAGTTTGAGCCGGTCTCGTGTAATATTTTTTTTTTTTTACCTTCACTTCTCGAATGGTCGTTCTCAGCTCATCTGGCGTAAAATAGAGTCCACCAATGACACCAAGTCCGCCTGTTACTCCTAGTTTAATAAACCTTGATAACGGGGAATAGCAACTAGGAATTTGGCAAAACCCACCAGCATTGCTCACAGCAGCCACAAGCTCTGGTCCTCCAGCAACATACATGCCAGCGGAAATCACTGGATGCTTCATGCCCAATAATTGAGTCAAAGGCGTTGATAATGACATATCCGGAGGCATGATGTGATGTGTTCTGCCTGTAGAAATCACGCGTAAAGACAAGACCGCAAGTAGGAGAAGCACTACACTGCTGAGCAGGGTTTCGGGCTAGGGAAGGCCGTACAATAAGATGCCAGTCACATTCAGTTTGAGCTGTTCGCTGTGTAAAATGTAAGGTGGCTATGTATTTGGGTGTTGTGTTGATATTACCTGGATATCGTGTCATCACATCCAGTAAGCAACAATGAAATATAAGCATAATCTTATTACAAGTCCTATGGTCAGCGTTTGAAGGAAATATCACAAAGTTTATTCGAATGCGGTCTTCTCGGCCATTAAGATTTGTTGTAATTTGCACCTTTCAAATTCCGACATCCTATTCCAACTGTTCCACTTTTCGGAGTCAGGAGTCGTCGGAGACATGGCGCAGCTGTCTGTCTTGCTCGACCACGCCCGCCAGTACTCACCAGTCACCATCTTTGCAACTTGTATACTGGTCGTCACCATAAGTCTCTTACTCAGCTTGTATCGACTAGCTCTTCCCAAGCCAATACCAGGCATTCCCTACAACAAAGCCTCTGCTTCGAAACTATTGGGTGATGGCCAAGCGTATCTTAAGCATTGCAAAGAATATGGAGGGAACTTCGCCACTTACTGTCAATCAGTGGCCAAATCTTTGGACGCGCCACTCGTGCAGATCTTTATCCAGCCTTTCAAACAACCACTTCTGGTACTTGCAGATTTCCGAGAAACCGAAGCACTGATGCGCCGCCAGGAGTTTGATCGCTCCGACGACATGGGCGATATGATCCTGGGTTTGATGCCGCAGCATCATCTCAGGTTGAAGACTGATGCAGCGTGGAAAGCTCAACGTCTACTCACCAAGGGCCTTATGCTTCCGTCGTGGCTTCACGGCGTTGCAGCTCCCGAGATATGTCAGCATGCGCTCTCAATGATTGAGTTATGGGACTTCAAAGCCAGACTTGCTAATGGAAGACCTTTTGAGGCTTCCGAAGATCTACGTCGTATGGCAATGGATGCTGTCATGTCGTTTTGCTTCGGACAGAGGTTCCAAGATATGGCAACTGGCCCTGCGCTCGAAGCATTGCAAGCCAAAAGCCTAGGCTTGGCTAACCTAGACGAGTCCGAGCATCCAGTCAAATTTCCCACAACGACACTTAGCCCTTTGCTCAGTGCACTCGACACCCTTTTTGAATCAGTCGGAGAGATTCGAGGAAGTCCCAAGCCAAGCTGGACTTGGGCTTATATCTTGCGAAAGCCACGCTATGCCCATGCACTTCGAGTGAAAAACGTATACATCGCCGCGGAGCTACAGCATGCAGTTGAACATCTACAGGACAGTAAAGGGGACGATACGGGCAAGTCGGCCGTTCATCATATGGTCCTGCGCGAGAAAAGCCTTGCGGAAAAGGACAAGCGCGAGCCTCGCTACCTATCTCGAGTCATGATGGATGAAGTCAGTGGTCTCTTGATATATTCTATGGTTTAAAATTTTGGGTACTGACGTATTATTACAGCTATATGGGTTTATATTCGCGGGAATGGATACCACCAGCACAGCAATGTCTTGGGGAGTCAAGTTCCTGGCTGACAACCCCCGAGTGACAACATGTTTACGGGCAGCCCTACGAGCGTCATTTGTAGCCGCAATCTCAGAGGATCGGAACCCAACCGTTGAAGAGATTGTCAGAACACATGTGCCCTACCTTGAAGCCACTCTTGAAGAGATTCATCGGTGTGGCGGCACAACTCCAATTGTCGATCGCCAAGCTATGGTCGACACGCAGCTTCTTGGCCATCATATCCCTAAAAAAACCAACGTTGCATGTTTGACAATGGGAGCAAGCATGATGGAACCTGGCTTCGATGTTGATGAGACATGCCGTCATGAGATAAGCCGCGAGGCGGCGGGAGAAAAGACGAAGTACTGGAATGTCAATGACATGGCTGTCTTCAAACCCGAACGCTGGATCAAAGACGACAGGTTTGATCCGGGAGCAGGGCCACAGCTGGCCTTCGGTCTGGGACTTCGAGCCTGCTGCGGAAAGCGACTGGCGTATCTGAACATGAGAGTATTGTTTGCACTGCTCGTGTGGAATTTTGAGCTTCTGCCTTGTCCGAAGAACTTGTCGGATTATAACTCCAGCTTGATAGTGACCAACAGGCCGAAAACGTGCTACGTACGTTTACAGAAGATCAGTTTCAGTAATTAGAAATGCACATCTAGTCTTTCAGCAATTTAAGATTTCTAACAAACGAAAGATCATCCCATTCGAGCACCTAAAAATGCCCTGACACCATAGGCGTCTCTATAGGGTAATTCATAACGCCTTCTCAGGTTGACAAGGTCGATTATGCTGCCATATGAATCAAATACTTTGACTATGTCCCTATTTATGCTGTATTTGTGGTAATAGGCCTGCTAATGTGCCATTCACTGTGTACAAGCTGAGCAATGATGGTTTCTTCTAATCCACCAACCTTCCTCTACAGACTTTTCGCAAAGCCAACTATTTCACGCATACCAGCACTATGAAGCTCAGAAAGTGCCCGTCTAAACAAGACCATACTTCCATGCGTCACACCTAGATTCACGCTCGCGATTGCGTCCACTCCTGCCGTACAGAGCTTTCGATAATAAGCAATGCCCTCATCCCTCAGCGGATCTAGCTCATCTACCTTAATGATATGTGGCGGCAACCCTTCACACATCTCAATAGTCGCATAATATGGAAATGCTAACGGATTGGTCCGGTCCTGGACATTGGGTGCGTAATAGCTTTGCATAGCGCCAGCACCGGTGGTATCGAGCATATATCCGTCGTTTGCAAGCCGACTCGGAAATTCGCTTGCAATTCGTTCTGCAGACCAGCCATAGACATTGCAGACATTTGGTGAGTAGGCATAAACACCACTTATGTCTTTAACCCAGCCTTCCTGGTTTGCTTTCAGCGCGGTTGCGAGGCACAGATTTGCGCCACCACTTTCGCCCTCCAAGATGATACTGCTTACACCGAGCTCATCTTTGTGCGATGCAATGTATTTGACGCCTTCTGCGCAATCATTCAAACCAGCCGGGAAGGGATTGTACTCATGTTCTGACCAGGCATTCCTGAAATCTATGGCGATGGATACAACGCCACGCTGGGCCAAATCGGTAAGCCAGCGAATATTGCCAGGTCGCAAAGTATCGAGAGTTGTCATGCCTCCGCCATGTACTATCATAAAAAAAATCAGTTGTTGGCTTGTTCAAGTGGTTTCAACTATACGAACTATAAACAACACACGGCAGGACCTGACCCTGCGTCCCAGACTTCCGAAACACATACAATCTGACATCGTTCCCATCGACGCCTTTCGCAACCAAGGTTTTCCGGTCTACTGGAGGCTCATTCGCGTCCTGTGGTAGGTCGTTTGGTAACGCAGCGAAGCCTTCTGAAAAGCCATAGTGCTGGCTTCGCATTTCCCTTGTCAGTTGGTCAAATGGCGAGTTCTCGTCGGCGATGCCAATTGGAAGGTTGTTGTCCCATCCTTGTGTCGCTAAGGCTTTCACCAGCTTGGGATTGAAGCGTGAGTCTGTCCTAGGCGAGAGTGTTGCGTCTCCGATTCGGCCTTCCGGCTTGGAGGATGGAGCTGGCATACTGCTACTTGGTAGATCGGCCGTTTGGTAACCTGGATTGTATTTTCTTTCTTCTTTTTATTTCCTTTTTCACTTTGCGAGCCAAGGTGAAGAAGCGCAATTCAATTATCCGGCTTGGTAAGCGTTTTGAGAGTATGCTTACAGGAAGCGCGATTGCTTATGGGACTTATTTTCTGTGGGTCATATAATATAATTAAATTGTACCCAATTAAGCATTCGGAACGCTTCAATTGATGTATTACAATAATGTATTTTATATTCCGTACTTCCTAATTATCTGAATACTCTCCATTATTAGAAGCAGCGAGAAAGACCGGTGTGCTTGGATATTGGAGGTCAATAAACATCTCAAACAAGTCATTCCTGATAGCCTGAAGGAAGGAAAAACCTCAAGATTTATGTATTGATTACCGTGCTGATGTCATCAGACCTCGATATCTAATTTCAACTGATAATAAAATGTTGCTATATGTCTGCCAACGAAATGTAACACGTCGAGCCTCACATATTCCGCTTGATCACCATCATCATGTCTATACCACTCATGCTTTCTTGCAATACACTCCAGCATGCTGTTGCTATATGGGTTTTGGGATTTACCGCCGTGGATTCCATCGCTCGCCCAGCTTTACTCCCTTTACTCTTCCTACTTACTCTATATACCCTTCCTCTGAATGATGCAATCCCACACCCTGTTGTCCACGGATTAGTCAACTTCAATACAGTTGGCGTTTTCTTTCAATATCTAGACTGTGCTTGCATCAGTCGATGGTCATACTTGGCCGGTGGGCCGACCTCCGCCAGAGGAGGACAACGTAATCTAAGATCGGAACCTAAGCAAGGCAGCACAGGCAGAGCCACAGCGAGCTTTGGGGATGTGTTGGCACGATTACGATTTGGTACTTCACTTGTCACCTCGTGGCGAGCAGCGGGTACCCCTTGGGAGGTCAGAGGCACTCCAAGGTTTGAACAAGTGCCGAGCCGTGGACGCTTTCTTATCGAGACTGTGCTCTATTTAACGTCTGAAATACTCATCCTCGACGCTTTGAGCCTGCCAAAAGGAGGGAGACTAGAAGAAAATGCGTTGAATTTCGCATGGGACAGGGTTCGGCTGTTGTCACGATTGCAGCAAATATCAGGGGAGGAGATCTCCCTTAGGCTCAAGGCCTTGTTGGGGTTCTGGTTAGGAACGTACTACTCCATTCGAGTCATGCACCATATTCTGGCCATCGTGGGCGTAATTACCGGCATTAAAGATGTTCATCGCTGGCCAGCTATATTCGGACCTTTAAGCCAAACATATACATTACGCCGGTTCTGGGGTATCTTCTGGCACCAAACCTTGCGTCAGAAAAGTGGAAGCCCAGCCTACTACATCACCTACTCAGTCCTCGGATTGAGCAAAAGAACAGCAATCGCGCGTTATTTTCACCTCTTGCTGACATTCATTATGTCTGCAGTTATACACCTTCTCGCGGAAGAGTATCCCTGGGGCATTGACTGGGATCGTAGCGGCACCACGAGGTTCTTCGTGACCCAGGCTTTCGGTATTCTCTTGGAGGACCTCGTGCAGACTGCCTTTGCCTCACATGAACCCCGCTCACGCTGGTGGTCTAAAGCTGTGGGATGGGTATGGGTTGCTCTCTTCACATTCTGGTCTTCACCGTCGCACTTTTATCCTCGCCTCCAGGTTCTAGACAGCAGTAACGGAGGTGTTCCACCTATCAGCGTTTTGAGGCCTTTGATAGACCGCTTAGCAACACACTCTGTAAAGTAACGGCACAGTATATATCTTTTTGACTTTATGGCTCTTGTGTATTTTATATATCTTGTACCTCAGCTTCATGAATCCCGCCATGCATCAATTCACATGATGGATTGTCGGCATGATAGATGTACATATCGTCTTCACGATGCAGGAAATTGAAAAGAAGAAACTGGGCATGTTTTGATTTGGGCTTATTCCTTTATCTTACAGTCCCTGGGAAAAATAAGTATTGGCCATTTTCCAGAATCGAAATAGCTATAACCTGGTGCCTATTTCATAATAAATCTTACTAATTCCAATCGCAATGTTTATAGTTTTAGAACTACTATTCACTGTATCCAGGATAAATATTCTCTCAGCTAGCTAAGAATACGTGAGCAAGACGAAAGGGAAATATCTATCATTGCCTGAATAGTAGAATACATTACTACTACACTGATTATTGTCTTTCCTGATATCTTTTATCATCCCTGAATACCTTGGGAACCCCCTATCCAATAGATATTCAAAATTAGGGAAAGGACTAAACGGCCAGGCGGCCCCTTTTCGGGCCGTTTCAATACTGCATAGCAGACCGGGATCGTATGCAAAGGAAGCTAGTGGTTTTAATATGGCGCATGGGCTGATTCTATATCAAGCCCGTGACAACAATAGAATTATATTATTTATATGTGACTATTGAGAACTTCTACAGTCGACTGTAGCAAATAATATCTATATATCTATATTTATTCTCATTTATGGAAGTACTTATATAGCAGAGTGAAAAAAGGCTACAAAGATTAAAATAAGGTATTAAATTTCAAAGCCCAAAAATATATATATATATTTATTTATTTATTTAATTGGAGATATTTATTGTTACTAAGTTCCCCCTAGCTTGTTTATTCAAGAAGTTAACTAAAGCTTTAAACATATAAGAGTCGGATCTACTAATTATCTATATGAATATAAGATTTAATTCCATATTCTTTTTTTTTTTTTTTTTTTTACATTTTTTCTTCAATAATATCGATCTAAATATGTGAAAACGGGGATTTGGCCAATACATTCGGTGTAGAACAGTCTCAGCCTTGACTAAGTACTGAACGTAAGTACTATTACCCTCAATAGTAGAGTCTCGCTACGCTACGCCACCTGTCTTAACACTGATTCCACCTGATCAAACTTGGTTGTTTTCTTCACCACTCCATCCATCGCGCCGAAGGGAAGCCAAGAGGCGATCTTGGCCAATATAACATAGTGCCCTCTGAAGATAAGAGGTGGCGGTCGTGCGCTATTCAACAAGTCCCGTGTCACAAGCTTCGCCCACTCCGCCGGTGGCATGCCTGAGCCCTTGAAGTTATCCTGCCTTAGGATCGGTTCGAGCAGGTCTTTCACCAGCTGGTAAGGTGAGCTCGCAGGCAATATGGAGCGATCCGAATCTGAGGTTGACGACACGGTCCTGGTGTAGTTGTTGTTGATAAGGTTGGTTGGTCCAACTGTTCCGGTTTTTAGATCGACGACTTGGACCCCGAGGCATTCGACTTCCATTCGTAGGATGGCAGAGTACATAGCCAGAGCAGATTTTGAGGCTGCGTATGCTGCTCCTCCAGGGACAGGTAGCATGGAAGCGATGGATGTATGGTTGACGATCATGCCCTTGGATTTGATGAGCAGCGGTAAGAATGCCTGGCACATCTGCACTGTACCCCAAAGGTTGGTGTCGAACACCTTTTTGGCTTCTGGTACGGATACGTCTGCGGCTGTCATGGTCAACATGACTGCTGCGTTGTTGACCAGGATATCAAGACTCTGCAGCTTGCTGACACAGCTTGCTATTGATGACGATGATGTGATATCTAACGCAATTGTCTCGATACCTAACGCCGAGAGCTTTTCCATTTTGGAAACGTCTCGAGCTGTAGCGTAGACGTGCAGACCGGCCTCGTGAAATGCGGTTGCCAGTGCAGCGCCGAGGCCGCCATCTGAGCAGCCAGTGATCAGAACGCTTTTGCGGCTCATGACTGCAAGGGAGATGATCTAGAACAATATTCAGTGATTAATGATTTTTTTTTTTTTACCCTCCGCCTGTCATAAACGTGCATCTCTATATATTATAACAAGTTCTCTGTGACCTGAACATTATCTGGAATACGATTATATAAACTTGCTTATATGGTCATAAATTCGTATTACGTGGTCTTTGCTTACCCTAAGTCTAATCATGCCTACCTGCCTGCCACAGAACTCAAGGGCCGATTTTTTGAAGCCCTAATGTTGTAGAGATATCAATTCGACCTGGTCCTGTTTCGTCTCTATGAGCTCTATAGGTGTAATAAGAAATCCAGGAATACATTAGCCAAGATTATATGTAAATTCTGGACCAATGCAGTCATCTTGTTTCTACGTAATATTAAGCTTATCAGTCTAAAAAAAAAAAAAAAAAAAAAAGAAAAAGACAGAAATGGGGTCGATTATTATCAACGTCTTACATGTAATGGGTGCGTACGATTTGGTTATTATATGTGCGTGCTCTCATAGGACTGACTTCATGTACCGTAGTAGTCTCTTCGTTACGAGTCTGGCTAACTTACATTGGTTTATATTTTGAAACAGTCACACTTCATCATGTCTTTAGATGCATACGCTATCTTGGATGCCTTCTCCGATATTAAAGGTCGGACCGACGAGTTTATTGTTACCAACAATCTTGACACCTACTCTGCTGAGTTCCTCCCGAGATCAGAGGAGATCGCGATTGCGATCTTTTGCAATGCCTTGGAAGATCTGGGCTGTTCAATCCGATCGGCAGCATCTGGATCCAAGCTTGAACGTGTCCAACCGATAGCAGAGCACAAGAAGTTGGTGGACCATATATATCTCATCTTGGAGAATAGAGCTGGATTGATTGCAGATGACGGCAAGCTCGTCACTCGTACCTCCAAGCCCTGTCCTGACAGAGACATTGATTCCCAACTGGAAAGCCTTATGCGTGATAGAGCTGCCCAGGATGCAGAAATCAAGCTCATGCAAGCAGTTGGGGGTAGCTACGGCAACTGCCTCGCCGGAAAGGTCGATGCGGTGCAGTTGCTCTTTCAGTCCGCTGAAAGTCGTTTGCTCCTAGATAAGCTCTATGCCACTTCCGACGCGACAAGCAGCCTCCTGCAGCCGCTAAGGGCTTTCATAGAGGAGGTAGCCAGCGGCTGGTCAGCTTCAGGCGAGCCTTTGCGAGTCCTTGAAATTGGAGCGGGAACAGGAGGAACAACTTCGGTACTACTACCGGCTCTGGCTCGGCTGGGCGTTCCGACGGTTTACACGATGACAGATATCAGTCCGAGCTTGGTGACACAAGCTTCCTCAACCTTCAAGCAATACCCATTCGTTGAATACAAAGTCGTCGATATCGAGAGAAAACCACCGCTGGAGCTGCAACGCAGCCAACACATCGTCCTGGGCTCCAATGTCGTCCATGCAACAACAGACGTCCCATCCTCGTTAAAAAACATTCACAAGATGCTGCGTCCGGATGGATTTCTCATCTTTCACGAGTTGACCACGCAAATGCCATGGGCTGACGTGGTTTTCGGTCTGTTCGAAGGCTGGTGGCGATTCAGCGATGGGCGGCAGCACGCTTTGCAATCACCACAAGCTTGGGCAAACATGTTAAAGTCTGCTGGGTATGGCCACGTAGACTGGACTGATGGATCCCGTCCAGAGGCAAAGCTGCAAAGTCTAATCTTGGGGATGGCTACGGAGGTAGAATAGGTTATACTTTCTGGACTTGAATCTCATCGTACGTGAATCCATTAAACATGCATAATCCCTTTAAAGTAGAAAGGCCATATGCTAAGCATTGAAAGAGTATACTACAGTATACAGTTCCTGGTGCGTTCATTGATATGACAAGTGTAATCAATATGAGATGTAATCCTTAGCCTCTGGCCCCCGATCTTAGTTATGTGAGCTTTGAATAGCTTACGCCAGATAAGTAATCAATACACCTATTCGTTCCTCATAAACTATTACTGTATATAGTCATGTACTCAGATAAATGGTCTCAACTGAAACCTCCTTAAAAGAAGGAGCTTACCATCTTGCCCACCCGAGTAACTGTGTTTTCGCTTCTCTCACTTGGTATCTCCTCTCAGAACAGGAAAACAGGAATATGGTTTCTTTTTACGTAGTTCTTGGAATGGCCTGGTGGTTGTGCTCTACTGCCCTTGCACTTGCGCCAATCCAACGCAATACTACCAATACATCTTGCCGGTACCTCCCTACCGACAAGGAATGGCCTAACAGAGCAGACTGGGACACTTTGAATGTTACAGTCGGGGGCAGGCTTCTGCGTGGAGAGCCATTGGCCCAGTCCTGCTACCGACCGCATGAGGATCCCGCCAAATGCAGCGAGGTTCAACAAGCCTGGGGTCTCGACGGTTTGTAGTAAGTACCATACATACATACATACATACATGGAGATGATTTAAAGTATCACTCGGTGTCTGCGGTGAAATGCTTACTTACTCTCGCTGTAGCTACGATGATCCAGTAAATGTCATGTCCCCATTCTGGTTGAACAACTCATGCAATCCTTTTTTGTCTTCTCTCAACAATACCTGCACCCTAGACAATGTTGCCTCGTACGCTATCAATGTCACCGATGCTGCGAGTGTCATAGCGGGAATCAAATTCGTACAACAAAAGAATATCCGTCTATCCATCAAGAATACTGGTCACGACTATCTTGGACGTTCCAGCGGGAAGGGTTCATTGGCACTATGGACACATAATCTTCGAGACATGGCAATCATCAAGAACTACACAAGTTCAAAATACTCGGGCTCTGCTGTCAAGATTGGAGCCGGTATGCAGTCGCATGAGGTAGAGGAGATCGCGGCAAAGCATGGCCTGCGAGTAACAGGCGGCCTGTGCCCGAGTGTAGGACTAGCGGGAGGGTTTTCCCAGAACGGAGGCTATGGCCAGCTAGCTTCACTATACGGATTGGCTGCAGACAACGTGCTCGAATATGAAGTAGTCACGACTGATCTCAGGCATTTGATCGCCACGCCATCAACAAATGCGGACTTGTATTGGGCACTCAGCGGCGGCGGGTCGGGCAATTATGCCGTGGTTCTCAGTCAGATCATCAAAGCACACCCCGATGGTCAGGTTACGGGCACTACTTTTTCACTTGTGAATACGAATTCCACGGCTTTCTGGTCAGCGATCCAAACATGGTACCAGCTGAGTCCCCGGTTCAATCTTATACCAGGCTTCACGGCATCGTGGCTCTTCAGCAATGAATACTTCCGGCTCACTGCGGCAACCTTACCTGGTGGTACCGTGGCAGACATGGATGCAATCCTTCAAGGCTTTTATCAAGTCATAAAAGAGCTCAACATGACATTTGTTGGCAAGAAAACCATCGTGAAGCCATCGTTTGTTGAACTATACGACACGCTCGTTCCACCCAGCCAGGCCGATGCATCATTCCCTGCAAACAACACCATTGGAAGTCGACTAGTACCTACTGCGGTTGTTCGGGACAATTTGACAGACTTACTGAACGTGTATCGGGACATTCTTCAAGACGAAACACTACCTGGTGGTGTGACTGTGGTCGGTGGCACAAGTAACAACGTATCCCATGTCAATGTTGGTGTGAGTCCGGGCTCTAATGCGGTGCTCCCAGCTTGGCGAGGCGCTCTTTTAAGTTCAAGTGCTGCCATCTCGTTCCCGGACAACACAACTGTTCAAGGTCTACAACTCATTCAGGCCAAGGTAAATACATGGCAAGATTGGGTCAAAGCCCTGACTCCAGGAAGTGGCTCTTACATTAACGAAGCGACATATGACAATCCCGACTGGAAGTCAGATTACTATGGTAGCAACTATGAAAGGCTTCTTCAAGTCAAGAAGAAGTATGACGGGGACTTCACGCTCTGGCAGCATACATCCGTGGGTGCAGACCTTTACTGGCAGGAAGACGCAGAAGGCCGATTATGTAGGGTGTAACGGCTGAGTGAACGGCACTCTTTCAAACTATTATATCTTATATAGAAGTTGTGTGATTATCATAATAGAGTACTGGGGTAACGCAGGAAGTAGCGTGTCCAAATATCAAATGCTCATCAGTTATGCATGCCTAGTCGCACTTGTCCAGGAATAGCATCAGGGGAATATAGCTCTGGTCCAGGGATGTCATACTTGTCCTGGCGAATTATATCATCCGCAATTTTCTCTGCCAGTCCATCTAAATACCTTTGTTAGCAATTGATACTTCGGTGTGCTTTACTTTCCTCCATTTAACAGTGTGGCTGATACTTACAAATCGTTCCCTGAATATGGCTTGGTAGAAGTATCGGTAACGAGGATGCGTCAACAATGCGAACATTTTTGACCCCAAATACTCGAGCTTTGGAGTCAATCACGGCCATCGGATCACTTTTTCGACCCATTTTGGCTGTCCCCGAAGCTTGAAAAAGCGGGTTGGCGTAGTTCTGTACAAATGCCAGGACCTGCGAGTCGGTCTCCAATGCAGAGGCAGGTGGAAAGGCTTCATGACCGACCAACACAGGCGCAAGAAATGTGCTGTTCAGGATGTCCTGCAAACGTCTGAAAGCTTGGAGGGCGATTTCAGGGTCGCGGGGGTCACTCATCCAAGCTGGATTGACAATAGGATTGTCGTGTGCTCTGTCGGATATGATGGAAACATTGCCACGGGAGAATGGGGAAACCAGCGCGACTGCCAAGGTTGCCCAATTGTGCCCATCAGGGCTCCCAAGAAAGCCCGAATGAGGACCGCCGTATGCTGATAAGGCAACGAACTCCAACTCGGGCCTGTCGGCGTCGATATTATCAAGGGAGTTGCGTGTAAATCTTCGTAGATTCCGCCGGTATCTCTGGGGCAACTTCTCAAATGCAAGCAGATCAGCTGCGTACGTAGTATACGGGCCTCTTGGCGGGCTTGATTGATAGTCCTTCAGAGCTTGTGCAGCTGCATCTGCGTTCCATTGAAGCTCGGCAGTAGTAGGTACGCTGACCTTCCTACTGATTCCAGCACACACATGGTCACCCAGGTTCTGACCCACACCGGCAAGATCAGAAATAACGTTGATTCCATATTGCTCCAGCGTCGCTTTTGGCCCAATCCCGGAAAGCATGAGGAGCTGTGGAGAATGAAAAGCGCCGGCTGACACAATGACCTCTTTCCGACAAGATACCTTGAGTAACAGACCGCCATAGTCAAATTCGACACCGTTCGCAGTCTTGGAAGCGTCGAATAGGATCCGGGTCGCCAGGGCGTTGGTGTAAACAACAAGGTTCTCATTGTTTATACCTAATCGGTTGAGATAGCTACTGTCTGACGTCTCTTTGGTGAAAGAAGTGGCATCAAGAGTTGAAAGCTGATGGGCGACGCCGTGAAGCGAGCCACCGACGAAGCCATCCCGATTTTCTTCGAAACCTAGTCCAATGAGGGCTTTCCTGATCCAAGTCGCCCACGGCCACACATGATTACTGAATGTGATTTGCAGCGGGCCCGAGGTATGGCTCTTCCAATGAGGCGGAGACCTTGGAGTGCTGTTTGAGAAGCGGTATGACAACGATGGAACGGTGAAGTTGATGGGCTTGGTTAGGTAAGGAGTAAAGTTTTCCCACGTGTAGGATTGGTCGTCTACGGCATCTGCCCACTCCTGGTAGCTGCTCTTAGGGGCAAACGTGAAGGCTTGATGGCTCCGAGTAGATGTCCCTCCAACCGCCTTTCCCTGTGGGTAGAGTCGGTTCAAACCGGCTTGCGGAGTAGTAGTCAGGTTCCAGTCGACTATTGGATTTATCATAGAGCCTGGATACGTGTGCTGAAAGGCAGAAGCATACAATGGCACTTGGCTGAAATTGCCATTTCCCAGGTGGTGAAGAGAGCCGGCTTCTATCAAAGCGACGGTATTGCCTGCCTCAGCCAGGCGAACTGCCACGGGGATTCCAGCTGTGCCGGCTCCAATAACAATGTAATCAAAAGTCACTGATGCGCTCACATTGAAGATGTCAAAAGTTGGGAGTCCAAAAGACGAGCCAGCTAGCCTTGACGAGGCATGAGGCACGCATGAAAATAGAATGGCCAAATGCGCTATCGCTGCCTTCATGACACATGTGTTCATCTTCTTTTGCTACCAAAATATGGTACGGATCAAGACTAACATCAATAATGGAATTATCAAGCGATAGATATCTATCAAGACTAAAGGACAGGTTAGCCTAACAGAGTCGTCAACAATTATGCAGTAAATAAAATTCTAGAAACATTTATGATACCGACGATCAAATAATAACACCCACAAGAACAACAACAATAATAATAATAACAATACTATTCAGGTAACAATTATTTATTGTGTTACAGTTCATACATGTGCTTTCTAGTTGCATGGGTGTCTGGGGTTATGCTTGGCCCTGCTTTGAGCCCTAAGGGTTGTTATGCTTATTATAAGTTAATAGATACCCTAGTAACCAAGTTAATTCTGATTACTGGTTATTACTGATAAATAATCAATATAGGATCTAATCAATAAATCGGTAATCGGTAATCGGTAATCGTTGAAATGTGGAGTATCAAGTAATCATGCATTATTAAGGATTATTATCCTTTCTCCTAAGGTAGACTATAGAACCTAAAGTTTATAGATAAAATCAAGTATAATGGTTATTCTATCCTACCTTAGCAATTTCTGGCCTGATGTGTCTGGTGCTTGTTATGCATATTTAGATAGGAAATAGATGTCATTTCCAAGAAACATTGGGAATTGTTATGTCAATTCGTTCCATCTAATAGTGTTCAGTATTTAAACCAACTTAAACTAACTTAATGACTCTAGGGGTGAATATTTGCACGCCTAGGTGCGCGGACTACAGTATTCTATTAGAATCGTCAACTAACGACGTCAAGCATTGCTGTGCTGACTGTCAGCCGTAGAATGGTGATATTACAAAGACGGTTTAGATAGCCGCCTGCTTAGCCGATAGTTGTCAAACAAGGCATATCAACCTTTCACAAGACTTGAAGTCTTATGGATACTCCGGAAAGGCTCGGTAGAAGATGAAGGCACAAATATTAAAAGGTGGGCGGGTTTATACATTGAGAATAAGAGGCAGTAAAACTAACTTGAATATAAAAAGCTCGTTCCTTTATAATCTATACTACGCATACTTAATATGTTCCTAAAGGACGCTGTACTCAGTGTACCCTCATCTCCTTGTTTAATATGCTCAGTATATCCTGACGTCCTTGTCTGACATGCTCGGTCGGGTCTATTGATCAGTGTAATCCATTTCTCTGACAATAGTTAGCTGATCTACAATCAGTATTTGGGCAACGTAGGCCACAAAATATGAAGAATCAGACATAATTTACTATTCCTTCCACCCTTTACTATTTAGGTACAGGCCTAGACTACTCGTTAATCCCGCATATCACCGATTCAATGGAAACTATACGGGTGTACTAGTATATAAAAGCACTGTTGTTGCTAACTTATCTCTAACTAGATGTCATTGCACATCCGCCCCAGACTCTAGCAGGGCCTCCACTGCTGCATCAAAACCTGCATCAATGGCAATCAGGAGGGGTGTTCTCCCGTCTTTGGTGCATTCATTAATCACCTTGCTGTTCCCAGCACAATGCATCAAGAGTCTTTTAAGTAACCGATCTTGGCGATGTATTACCGCCCAATGTAGGGCAGAGTGATGCTGGTGGTCTACATATTCAATTCCAGCCCCGTGTGATAGCAACAGATCGACGACATCTTCGAATCCAGCAATAGTGGCATTGATCAAAGGTGTCCTGCCTTCGGGGTCCTTCTCATTGTAATCTGCATGATGTTCAAGCAATAGCCTAACAATCTTGCCGTGGCCCATTTGTACTGCCCGCTGCAATGGACTAGTACAACACTTGCCCACAGTCTTGCCATGATTGCTATTCCCCCTTCTAATTGCATCACCCCCAAGATTGCAATGTGTCGCCTCGCTACCACCGCTATCGTCTGAAGGAACCGCTGATGGGAGTTGCACGGCTGAGTCTGATGCGGCGGGGGTGAGTTGGAGCGCAGGGTCCACGGAGTTGAGCTCTGAAGCAAAGAGAGTGTTGGCTGCACTGAAGTCAAATGAATCCAGGAAGATGGCTGTGTTCACAGTGTCGAGGCCCGGATCACAACCCTGCGTAGCGGGGTTGATGGAAGTCATCCGGGATACAACCGGTGTATTACGCAGGCTGTCGTGGGTGATTTGAGTATCCGAGCCGTCGGGGAGGGGGTTCGGGCTCGGAGTCCGCACACGCTCAGGTCCGATTGTCTTCTGCTGATAGTGCTTTTCTAGTTGTGAAGTATCAAGAAGTCAGTTTGCGTTTGCAATGCCCAAAGAGCCTCAGACGGATGAGTTGTGGATCTCACTAACGTCGAAATCGTCGCTGAGCCAGTCGGTTTTGCTCGCGACGACGCTCCTTCGCCTCAGTGGAGTTAGAATATTTCGGCGCCATGGGGCTACGATTCGTATATGGCAATCTCTGCAGAGAGCGTTTGGGAAGTTTTCGGTACATGGGAGCCATATGAGGTAGAGGTATCCTGTCATTAAATTCGACTGGCCGACACCATGTCCGGCCTATCTCGGTGTGTTCTCTTCGGCCTCACTCGAGGCAGGACGAGTATGTTTCATTGGACGGACAAATCTTACTCAGAGACAAGGTCCTCGCTAATGTATGCAGTTGAGACGAAGGGATTGGCCCCCATTGCCCAAACTGTGTCCCTCCCTGCGTTGGTCACCTTATACCCCTGGTACAGTGAGAACCAATGACAAATGAACTTCCTTCAACCCATGACCACTAATTACTATGCCTTTACCTATCAAATGCTTAATTAAAGCTTATCTAATATATTTTTCATAGCAATGATAAACGCATGAGCATGGATTCTTAGCGAGCTCATCCCCCGCCCGAGCGACCCCACTGCGGCAAGCCAATGCCGCCAATCCACATCCACACTCCACTCTAGGTAAGCAGACTAAGTACACTAGATCGACTATGCGGAGTATAGACTAAGTAAATACAAGCAGCTCAAGCAGACTCAGTGAAGGAAACCATTCCGCCGGCAGAAAAAGCTACAAAATATAAGAAATTGAATTAATGCGGATTGGTGGCATTGGTTTACCATGCCACGCATCGTGCTCCAACAGTTATGCTGAAGTATGGGGCATGTCATTGTAGCCCTCAGCCGCAGGTACAGCCCGGATCCACGTGTGCACAGCCAACATTCCGTGTGTGTAGCCACCCTTCCAAGTGAGAGTTAGTTATAACTATTCTTAGTCAGAGTACTCTTATATTATAAAGACTGTATGGAACCAGTACTAAGATAAGACTAGATTGGTATTCCTGAGAATGGTACTTTGTAACCAACCGGCGTCATCGCCTAATCCTTACTCCCTAGTGCCTAGTTTCATGCACTATTCCGTACTCAGACTCGTTCCTTTCAGTCTAGAATCGCCCTTCCTCAACCGGAGCTCATTGAATGACGTTAGATTTATCGTCGTAACTTTGTCTACCATTTCCTTGTATGAATTTTGCCCGCTGTAGGCAGATCTCACTGAGACGGGCACAGTGGTTCTGACAGTTCCACTCCCGATTTTACACTTCAAGGCACCCTACTCTCTAAGACATAGAAACTTTAAAATGTAAATTTCTATCGATTTCTGACCCCTGCTAATGCAATCCCCTTCGGGAACTTTCAAGAGGACCCCACCTGTGACACTCAATGTCACGGCGTCAACACGAGGGAGCGTTCTGGTGACCAACCGCCACACTATCTAGTCAAAGACTGGAGTTTCAGGCGTCTCAACCTGAACCTCTCTCACTGTATAGGGTAAAGTGAACCGTCCCATAACCCAACCCCCCCCCACTTCCTCTCCCTCTCCTCCCTCTCCTCCCTCCTATACTAACAAACCTTCTAGGGTGGCGGCTCTATGCGCCACTATAGTCTATATACGTGGTCTATATTAGCAGCATCGCTAGCCCCCAAAGATAACAGGTCGCCTAGCGTTCTGCGGCCTAACCCCACCGCCTAATGATTTTCTTGTCAGCCGGGGAATCTGATCCTTCGGATTCCTTCCGCAGACCCGACCCACGCTATAGTATCGGGCAAAAGGACTATCCAAGGTACGATGAACCGTCCTACCCCAAGGGCACTTTTGCTTAAGAGATTGATTAAAAAAAAAAAAAAAAACTCTCATTGTTATAAGATAGTTAACAATCTTAAAATAGATATACAGACAGCTATTTGACTAACCTAAGTATCTATAACTAACCATATTAGGCAGGGTAAGTCTATAGCACCGGACAATATATAAATTTTAGAACACGGAAGTCGCGTAAAATCCCGGGTAAATTCTACTGAAAATGGCGCTATAGTTTAGTCACCTGCACATCCCCGTGTCAAATTAAGGCTAGATGAGGGGCTATTTAACCATTTTACTCTCCACTGGTAGTAGTAGTAAATCCTAAACTGTCGCGAGTTGAGAGAGTCGAGATAAAAGCAGCTGGGGAGGAATTTTTGTTTTTACTCTTTTCTGGCCCCACGGATATTTTTTGAAGCGGAACGTCCTGTAAGGTTGAATTGCCTATACCCTCCGCCCTTATTAGCTTTTATCTAATTGGCTTCGTCGTGATTAACTTACATATAATATACTAACCAATTATATATATCTAGACAGGGCGGGAGGTACAACAAGGTAATCAATCTTACAAGTTATGGATCACCCCACTTCCAAATATTCGTGACCAGAAGAATAACTCGTGAGGCAGCCTTCTGATTGGCTAATATCTGCGCCGCCTTCGCTGACCTTGCCTACTACTAGTAGTAGTAGTGGGGTTCGGCTAACCGTGTTCGGCAAGGTTAAAGCTTTTCCTGTTTCAGATTAGTACGAAAGTAGATTACTGCCAAGGATCCCTATTCGTTCAGTTCAACTCCTCTTTCGCAACTGGAAAGCAATGCAATCGGCCGGAGATTCATTTACTGAGGACAATGCTGGAAAGAGGTTAGAATGGGCAAGACCCTACGCAAGATGTACTTCAAATGACGTGAGAAGAATCGAATGGACTGAGAAAAATAATACTCTGTAGCACGTGGAAAAAGGTGCTCGATCTGTGTGAAATTGGACCTTTACAACTAACAAAGCCCCCCTCACACGACTCACGACTCACGAGTTGATTGATATGGTTTGGGCTGGATTTTCATAGAATACTTATCCAGTTAGGTTGATTAAGAGTCAAGAGAGTTGAGACCAACGCTAGTAACTGAATACTGTAGGACAGTAGTACGTATATCGAGAGTAAACAGATTAGTTGTACGCCTATAGGTGCAATAATACTAACATGGTAATGATTGATTATTGAATTACTATATTTCATATAGATATAAAGCAGACTTTTATCCAGGTAATCGTAGGGACTAGAGTCCACTAAGGCAGCTAGGCCGAACAGCCAGACGGTAGCTACTAGCTCCATTAAATCTTATATCGCATATACGCGGTCGCGCGGGACCTAGCTGGACCTAGCTACTAGACTCATTACCTCATTTGCTCTAGTGAATCCCTCTGCTCAAGAAAATCCGTTCGCTAATTAATTGAAGTTATTCAGTGAGTGATTGAACGGTTTCCACTTTCGAATGATCAGAGAAGCACGTCCCGGTATCAAATATATTCACAATAGCGGTGACCCAAGTGGGAATGGAATCACAGATATATTATATATTTTAATATATTGTCTTTAATTCTTTTTTTTAAAATGGCTTTATATAGATTCAGACCAGTATTTCGTATAACAATTGATTTTTATAGACAATCTATAGATTATCCATATAGACCTCAAGATAGGTTAGATTGTAGGAGACTAAACTGAAAATCTGTGTCAATTAGGCGTTAGGTCCAAAAGGAGGCGTGGACCTATGATGGGTTCTGCTGAAGTGTAACTTCGACCACATGAATGGTCTTCTGTCCACGGCGGGCTTCAATGTCAGACTCATTTGAGTGCGGACTCCCTCGCTCGAAGATAGTGTCGACCTCTTCTAGAGTTTTGCCTTTGGTCTCAACCCAAAACAATGCCTGTAAACAACGTCATTAACCGCTGTAGGTGGGCCAGTGTTCTTTTACCTACCACAATCAGAAGCACGATGACATCCCAGCTTCCGTTGATGATGTACATCTTCCAACCAATATTCTCCAAGGCGATTGGCATGACAAATACCAGGAGGAGTCTGCTCTTGTATTTAGTACCATGCGCCGGACAGGGGGACAAGACACCACCTACGTTAGGCTGCTCAGCATAAACTCCGAGAAAGCCACACCATTAGCTCGAATACTATAATTCATGACCTCAGTTGGGTAGAGATAGATGAGCGGTGTCCAGGCCAGGGAGTAGAATCCCTGGAAGAGGAAAATCACTGCTACATTCCCATATAGAAGGCTGGTAGATGTGTCATTCGGACCATTGTCCGCGTACACCTTCGTTAGACCTCCAATAATGAAAAGGCAGGCGATAAGCAGGCTCTGGCCAACAAGAGCTGTGGGACGCCGACCCCACGAGGTGACTAGAAAGGTGCCCAACAGGCAGCAAAATAGACACCAAGCGTTGAGAACAAGGTTGATATGTAGCTGGGCGCGACTGTCGGTGACTCCAGCCATGCTGAGCTCCGGCCCCAGATAGAAAAGGCTGATGAGATTTCCAACCACAGTGGACATGGGTCCAACAGAAGTTCCGATAAGGAACCTCCTCCGCAGTATCGGATCCTTGAAAATCTCTACGATGGAGCTCTTGCATTCCTTGTCCGATTTCAGGGCACCCGCAATCTCTTCATAGATGCTTATCACCACCGGATCGGATATATTGCCGTTGGCATTCGTTTGTGCAACGGCGAGGCGAGCCTCGTCGAAGTAGCCCTGGTACTGAAGCCAACGCGGACTTTCCGGGACAAACGGCAAGATGAGAATGCAAAGCAGAGAGAAGAGGCCTTGGATGAGCGACGGCACTCGCCAAGCCCAGGAAGAACTGGTCCAAGTACCAGTCCCGAGGGTAATTCCGGCCGCCAGGATTGCACCAATCCAGTAGAAGTCGTTGAGAGATCCTACACCCCATGCTCGGAATCGACTAGGGAAACTCTCGGAGAGGTACACGCCGCCAGCAATCCCACAAGAAGCTGCTCCGAGTCCGATTATAATGCGGCCAACGACAAACATGGCAATATTCTGAGAAGCTGTTTGCAGCACAACACCAATTATGGCAACCAGGCTGCTCCAGAAGATAGCTAGTCTTCTCCCTAGCCTGTCCGCCATCGTGCCTGCGAACAAAGGTCCTAGAATGCCACCGATGAAGATAGAAGCGGTGTTCAGGCCTGTCGTTGCTGCGCTGAGCCTAAAGTAGTTGTTGTATGCAGGCAGGATGTTGAGCGCGTTGAGCAATGCAGTGTCGTAGCCAACCGTCTGTTAAGTTTTTTCTGTTAATCTCGGTCTCTCGATGGAATTGCACACGGCAAATTTTGCTAGGACACATACACAGGACTGTACAAACGAGCACATGATGAGGAGGAGCGACAAGACCAAAGTAGACTCTGGCACCCACGCCGGCAACCATGTCCCCGTATGCGTTTTCCGTAGCATCTTCAAGACTACCGTTGTGTCCAGTAACAAGGCAGAAGGAATGAAGGGGAGGAAGGGGAAAAAGGAAAGTATTGAGATCAAAATTCGATATTCATTGTTAAAATCGAAGGAAATGGATTCTGGTCAAGATTTGATATTTGATATTGGTTTATTTATCCCCGTGTTTCGATAAGTGCTATTCGCTACCATGCGCTGGATATTAATGAGATATGTTGGCACGTCCGAATACGCTTATGCCTGAGATAAGCCGGAGATTATGAAAAGGTCTTTAGGTGCCATTCCTTACGGAAAGGAGTGAAAACGATCTAATAGGATTATAAAATCATGGCTGCTTATAGAAAGCTTTAGGATAACATACTTGCCTGTAGCTCCGCCACGACTACCTATAGAGGACAGTAAACCTGTTTCATACCAAACATTGAAGCGTAAGATTTTGAATTATGATGCATTATTGTTTGTTTCCTGTTGCATCCCGCTGTGGACAAACAACAACTGTATATCAGCCAGCGTAGTGATGCAGTTATTTCAGCACACTTAGCCTGCATTTTACACAGTAGAGGCCGGTTTCTGTCAACAGCAGTAGATGTTTACATGATACACCTCATTTTAATGGGTTACAAGTCGATACAAAGGCAGTATGTTCAGGTTAGAGCAGAAAGCTATCGAAATATAGGGTGTAGATTTCGCCTTGATGTAGAGGTAAGGTATTCATGTGATTTACTTCGTTCCTGTACGAGTTAACGTAACCCTCCCTTCCTCTTCCACAGACTTCGAGGATGCTATTGAGGACTAGAATCTTAAAATCTGTATTCTTATGTCAAGCTGGGTGCTCCTTTGTCTATTGTCCATTACAGGGTAGGGTTAGATGATGTGGCTTTACGGCTCTGCTCTGTAGTACGTGTAATCTCTGTCTATAGCTCTGCTGTTAATAATGCACTTCTTAAACTGGGATAGGGCCTCGACTGCAAATCATCAATATTCTATGTAAGAAATGGTGTCCATCTTTAAAATGAGGCCTGTTGTGTTGTAGATTATCGCTACCGGCGGTGGTGCCTAAAATGGTTTGCGCCCTCACTCCTGGCTATTGAATCCCCGCAACTAGCCTATAGGTAATTGTAAGAATAGTCTTATGTTAAGCTTTGTATGGCTGATGCGGCTGGAAAGCCTTTGCTTACCTTTGGGTGCCAACTTTGTACGCTTGAACTGCTTACATGCAGGATGATTACTTCAGCCATTTGATTATTCCTATGACGATCGCAGCCTACTACATTTCCCTATGAATGTGGGATGCAGAAGACAAAAGCTATGAGTGCTTCCCACTGCAGATGAGGAGCGAAACGGGTCAGGATTTTCAAAAAGCTAGGTTCCTCGTTTGAAGTCCACCATGTCTCCAGCTACGAGCCGTCGAACAGTTAATTGCAAAACCATTGATGGGATTTCACTAGAAGCATGGCTGTGGGAGGTCGAAGGCCCCGCGCCCATAATTGTCATGACTCACGGCGTAGGTTCCCGTGGAGAAAAGATGTTACCGTTGTACAGCAAGACTGATAACTGAATATTCTCTCGCAGCTCAATTGCGTTAAAGAGTGGAGTCTTGAGGAGACAGCCGAGGCCTTCCACAAAGCAGGCTACAACGTCCTTCTGTACGATCCAAGAGGCATTGGAGGCAGCGAGGGTGTTCCCAGAAACCAGCCTGATCCGTGGCAGCACTCTGAGGACATTTCAGGTATGTCTACTGTCATGATGGTTACGAGCTTGTTTGCTTGGCAGTTGGACTAACGACACTGGTTATGGCAAGATGTCGTCACCTACGCAAGCACACTACCGTCTGTTGACTCCCAGAGAATCCTACTCTGGGGGATCTCCTTCGGTGCTACTGTGACTGCATGCGCTGGCGCCGTTGATCCTCGCGTGGTGGCCGTTCTGATGGTCGCGCCCATCTTCAAGTTCATTCGGCCGGACAAGCGCAGGAAGCTGTTCACACAGCTGATGAAGGACCGTCAATCTCAGATCAGAGGCAATGAGCCTTTCTACCTCCGTCCTTACGATAGTAACGGGGAAAATCCCGCGGGCTACGGTGGCTCCGGGGGAGCAGGCGCCAAGGAAGCGTACACGTTGATGGAACTCGGTGTCGAGCGCTATGGGTACCGCAATCGCATCACACTTCAGACATTCCACAAACTGGCGCTGTTCCGTCCCCAAGACTTCCTGCAGGAGATGTTAACCGACAAGCCAATCATGATGGTTGTGCCGGAGAATGATACAATGTCATTGCCAGCGGATCAACTGGCAGCGTTTGAGAGCTTCAAGTGTCCAAAACAATTCTACTTGGCCAAGAACAAAGGTCATATGGATATCTTATCAGGAGAGGAGTTCACGCAGAACATGTCGGCGATGATAGAGTTCTTTGATTCGGTTTCACGTGAAGAGGATATTGTATAACGGCTATCGATTGTCTATCTAGTACAATTATATCTCGTTGGTACTTCGCATGGATGTGCTATTATTATGATAGACCCTAACCTCCTACGATAATTGAACTATAGGAACGTAATACAACTATGGGATGCTCTTATTGATAAGGTATACTCTTATTAATAACATACATGAATGTTTGACCAATGGTGCTCCCCTCATTCGCGCGTAGTATATCCAATGGAGCGTGGGTGGATGCGTTCCACGACCCGTCTGTTCTCTGGACCATGCCCATGCTGTGGCGACGTAACAATCGCCCTGTTAGATCACTGGGATACGTTAGTCAGTCTCTCAAATCATCCAAGCCAGCCTACTATGTCTCCTGCCTATGTACGCACGGCGCTCTCTCGTTGGCTCCGGTGTCTATATCCCCAAGTACTGTGGCGAACGCTTGGCTTGAAATGCATGTAGAGCTTCGGCGCGGTCGCTGGTTCCCAGGACCGAGGTATAAGCAGCATTTTCAGCTTCTTCATTGGCCATAGCCAGAGCGCTCAAGGCAGCACGGACAGCGATGGGGCCTCCAGCACAGATATCATGAGCCAACGACAACGCATTGGCGAGAGTCAGCCTTCTGACCGCGCCCAAATCCGCACAGTCCATTTCACCAGAAAACACAAGCCGGTTGCATAAGCCCATTTGAGCGGCTTCCACGGCCTTGACACGGCGACCAGTAAGGATCATGTCAAGCGCGTGTGACTGGCCGACAACTCGCGGTAGTCGATGCGTCCCGCCGGCGCCAGGGATAATGGCAAGTTTAGTCTCTGGCAAGCTAACCACGGCATGGCCGGAAAACACCCGGAGATGGCAGCAGAGGGCCAGTTCCAAGCCGCCGCCGAGCGCTAAACCGGATACGCAAGCAATCGATGGGATGGGCAGCGATGCCAGCTTGGAGAAGACATGGCGGAGCTCCGTTAAGAAGTCCATAGTCTCATCGCCACTCATGTTGCTCCGCTCCTTGAGATCCGCTCCAGCGCAGAAGACATTGTCGTTTGTGCTGGCGATGATGACGGCTCTCACTTGGCTCTGGCTTGCCTTGACGTAGACGCAATCGAGCTCCCGGTCCAACTCCTGGAGCAGCTGCCGTGAAATGGCGTTACTTGCCCTGGGGCGGTTCAATTCAATGATGGCAATCTGTCCACCATGTGGTGCTTCGACACTGCTATACAGGATCGTGGGACAAGGCTGGATTGGCTCTGGTTCTGTTGCTACCATGGGTGTCAAAGGGCAGCTATTTTTCACGATAGATCCATTGGTGCCGTTGGGCATGGGCTGAGATTGAGAATGTGCGTTGGTACCATCCGAAAGCGCCGTGTGCTCTGGGAGAGACAAGGCCGTACGACCGACAACCCCCAAACTGTTTTGTTTACCTGTATAACGAGTCCATAAGTCATCCGTTTCGAGATATCTCAGAGTATCGGCTGACTCTGTAATCATGAATTCACATGAACCATCCAAACACATTGGCATCACGATCACTGATCCTATTATCGTGCCTCGTGCCGGGTGGCGAAAGGCCTTCACACGGCCGTCCCCAAAAGCCGGACCAAAGTCCATTTCATGGATATTGAACTTGAAATGGCTGGTGTATACGATAGCAGACGAGGCCAAATCTTCTTGGAAGCTCAGACGGGTGTGGCTCTCCAGTCTGATTCTCTCCATAAAGGCAACCAGATCTCGGATCCTGTCCGCCGTCACGGATTTCACGTCCGCACGTAGAATGCGGGCAGCGGCACGGAGGCCAGTCTGTGGATCCCTGAGCGCATCAAATGGCATATCGCTCCGCATGATGTAGAACGCATTCCCGAAGTACGGCTTAGGTAGCTCAAGTAGCTTACGGCAGTCGACTGGTTGGCCAAATTTGGCGACAGCGTCAGCGGGGAGGGCTCCTGCACGATGCCGAGCAACCAAAATACTTCGCCAGATCAGCGCAGCAATGGCATCACCCGTGGAGATCCAATCCTCGGCATCACGGGGGAACGAAGGAGATGCAGCCTTCTTTAGCTCTACCAGAGCATCGCGACTGATGCGATAGGTTCTACAGGCCTGTTCGACCCCTGTGATATTGCCGTGAGCGAATGCAGACGTCGTGAACGCGGGATGGTTCTCTATGTCTCCCATTCTGCCCTCGCCTGAGACCAAGGCAGTCCGATCTGAGACCCATTTCTCGTTGGTTGTTTGCAAAGGATGTCCGAATTCGCCTGCATGGGCTTTGCGAAGGTTCTCGGCGAAGATCTTCACACACTCAGTCACTCCGGTGCCGTCAATCACGGTGTGCAGAATTTGTATTACGAGGATGACGCCGCCTTGAATGAAGTTGACACGAAAACGGCAGACCTCAACAGGCTCTTGCTGGATGTAGATAACTTGTGGCAAAGAACAGAGCTGGTCAGCATCAAACAGATCCTGAGAAAAGTTTGCCTTGGCGAGGTCGGCATAGGAGATCTGATCACAGAGGTCCTTCACGTCGAGATAAGCGTGTCCATTTGGTGATATATTCCGCAGCCAAGGACGATCGCCTTCTTGTTCTGAGTTTGGTACCACAGATCCTGCGAGAAAGGGCACTCGCTGTACAGTGTGGTGCAGCGCAATATGCAGTTGGTCCACAACCTGTTCTTTGTTTACGTCTTTTGGAAGAGCGAAACATAGCATTCGTTTGGAGTGTGTTGGTGGGTAAGTCCGATCCCAATACGACAGTTTAAGGTCGAAAGGAGGACCCGAAATGGCAATGGACCTGTCCATTGTTGGCGTTGTTGTTGTTGGCGTTATACAGAACCGAAGGCTGGATCTCAGTAATATTATAGATGTGAGAGTTAAAAGAGCAGGCAATACGGAGCGTGTCTTACTGCTGATGATGCTAATGTAGGAGTGCTTGGCTAACGAAATAGGAGGCTACTTCTCCTTAATCTATGCTAGGTATTACCAGGATTATCATCTAAGCCGCAATCACAAATGCTTATGCCTTACGATGACAGAAGACCCGTTGCATAATCAGCTTTTAACCTTGATCTGGGACATAATCCTACATGTACTCGTAAGCTGGACTGTAAGTTGATTACTTTCTGCCACCAGCGCATTATCGACATTCTCCAGGCTCTGCACACAACAGCCATACGACAACGAGGTCTGTCTACATTGGGCTTTTCGACCAGGAACTTCGACAAGGGCCCATCAACGGTTTGCTACGGACTATTCGCCAGACTGGAATGAACTGCGCTATGGAGAGCCAACGTCTTATTTCATCGGAATCACTGGATATCCCACGTCCAGAGGGCATCGTCCAGGACGAGGAGGACTTCCATACTGGTCGGTACTCCGATTTGGAACATCCCTCCAGTCAGGGACAAGATGTCCCTCAAGATGGAGATGAAGATGAGAATGATGATGTCACAAATGCCAAAGTCGTATTGGTCGTCGCTGCCCTGACCGCCACCTCGTTTTTGGTTATGCTCGACATGTCCATTCTTCCAACTGTAGGTCAAGAACTACTCAATGTACCTGGCTATGAGCTGACCGAAGAACGAGCTAGGCCATCCCGCAAATCACGACCGAGTTCCACTCCTTAGGAGACATCGGTTGGTTCGGTAGTGCATACCTGTTGGCAAGGTAAGTTTGTTTCTACGAGGGGGCCCAAGGTAGACATCTAACAGAAGCCTCAGTTCAACCATGCAACCATTGACAGGGAAGCTTTACCTGCGATTTGGTCTAAAGGCAAGTCAAAAACTTCAGGTAACTTATATATTATCTTCTAATGTATAGTATAGTATACCTTCCTCACCTTTCTCACAGTGTTCGAGTTGGGTTCATTGCTCTGTGGCATAGCACCAAGCACCAAGTTGTTCATTCTTGCACGAGCCGTCGCAGGTCTAGGGGCGTCTGGTTTACTGAATGGAGCACTCAGCATAATCGCTGCTATTGCTCCAATGCATAAACGTCCAGGTAAGACAGGCTCAAGCGTATAATTGAAAATAGCAAATGTCCTTGAAGCTAAGCAGATCGAATCTAGCGCTCATTGGTTTCATGCTGTTAAGTATGTCTCCAACCGGATAGTAAACTCGGATTCGGCTCCCAGAACTAACAACTCCCTACACCAGTTGGCCAACTCGGGATGGTCGGTGGGCCAGTCCTCGGTGGTTTGCTCATGAAATATGCGGGTTGGCGATGGTGTAAGTTGGTGTATCATTCCTACTTAACAAATTCTGACCAGGCGAACTAGGCTTCTACATCAATCTGCCAATTGGCGCCGTCTCAGCCATCATTCTTTCCAGCCTTTACATCCCGGATGGCTTTATTCGATCCACAGCAAAGACAAAGTTGGCCGTGTTCTTTAGCCTTGACCCAATTGGATTCGTCTTATTCACTGCTTTCACCGTTACGCTCTTCATGACCCTTCAGTGGGGTGGAAGCATCTATGAGTGGATGAGCCCTGTCATCATTGGACTGCTAGGTGCTTCAATCCTTCTCTTCACTTTGTTTGCCGGGTGGGAAAGATTCGTAGTTGGTGAGAATGCCATGTTCCCATACTCGATGCTGCGCAAGCGGGTTGTCTGGGCATCCTGCTTGACCATATTTCTTTTACAGGGCTGTGCGCTCATCTACTTATACTATCTACCGATGTACTTTCAATCTGTTAAAGGCACATCTCCACTTTCAAGTGGGGTTTATAACTCTCCAGGTATCGGGAGTCAAATGCTCTTGGCTGCAGTATCTGGTGTCTTGGGTAAGTTCTTCTCATAGCTCGAAAGCTAAACGGCCTGCTGTGATTACTGAGATTTATATAGTCGGGAGGATGGGATATTATCTTCCATGGGTCCTTGCAAGCGGAATGCTCGGCCTTGTCGGGTCAGTATTGATGTCGACCTTGACACCTGAGACCAGCCCGGCCGCCTGGATCAGCTACCAGGTTATTGCTGGAATTGGGCGAGGATGCGGTACAACGATGGTAAGCTATATCCTTATTGCATCCTGTTGGACCGAAGCTGACAGGCTCTTAGCCTATGGTGGCGACGCAAAATATCCTCTCACCCGAACAGATTCCATTGGGGATGTCTCTCGTAGCATTTTGCCAATCATTCGGCGGTTCCATGTTCCTCATGTTTGCCCAAGCCATTTTCAGCTACAGCCTTGTAGATGGTCTCAAGAGATTTGCACCTACAGTCGATATACCAACTGTGATTGATGCTGGGGCTGCTGGTCTACGAGATGTGGTACAGCCCGGAGAACTGCCTGGCGTCATAAAAGCTTACAATCTGAGCTTTACGAGAGAGTTCTATCTGGCAGCAGTTGCTTACATCGCAATGATCTTCTCTGCTTGGGGTATGGGGTGGTACAGCGTCAAGAAGCAGAAAGGCGGCAGCCGTGATTAAGCTGGCCGGACGCATGAAGGCGGTATGGTACATTAAACCACTCTGTGAATAACTTTGGATCGTCACATTTAACACCTGGTACTTCTTGTACCAGTGAGAAAAGCGAGGTTTTAGTTTATCGCGACGTGGAACTTGAGTTGACCACTAGGGTTCCGTTTCAAAGCCGAATTTAACATTAGTCGGCGTCGAGCTGAGCATATTTGAGATCGTTTCTATCCATTACATTCGTATATGTAGTGCAGAATAGTTGATAGGTCAGAGGAACCAGACATTCATATTGAGAATGTGGAATAATCGTCCATACATACGTGCCGAACTGTAACACTCTCCAACAGTCTGGATAGGAGCTGTACTACGCTTTGCTACTGAGATATTGGCCGATTCTCAACCATGGAGACAGCTGGGGACATGCACTACGCTTATCTAGAGATAGAATTTATTGCACAAGTAGATCCTCCTCATTTTTCAGTCCACTTATGGAGTGACTCCATGCAAAATATAATTCCCCACCAGTACTGAACTAGTACATACGACCATAGGGTGTGGAGAACAGGGCTTCCCGTCCGCTCAGCCGTACTTAAGCCACACGCCGGGAGGTTAGTAGTTGGGTGGGTGACCACCAGCGAATCCCTCCTGTTGTATGTTTTGTTTTTTGTTTTAGTTATTATTTTTTCAAACATTATTGTAGTCACTTACATCGCTCAGGCCGGGGGAGTCATATTGCGGGCCTATATCTGCGATTGAACGTTTACTCTCCGATTGTTTGACTGTTTTAATTACCTAGCTTCCTCGTTCAAGTGGGTTATATCCTGATCCTCTACTTGCGCTTGGAGTTGATCTATTAAGAAGAGAGACAACTTATTCTACCACAGCTTTTGGTGTACGGTGTGGAATCCTCAACACAGCGTGACTATAGCATAGAGTTGTTGACACAGACTGGAAGTAACTGGTTTAATCACTATACCGAGCGGTAGCTGGGCCGGTACGTTCTCAATGGTTCTAAATTAGGGTCTAGTCGCTTGCCGTTTATTGTAGACTATCTAGTCATGCCTAGATAGTAGGTTGAATATATACTGTAGGTAAGAACGATGTTCTGTCGTGATAGACCAAGGCTAAACAGACAGGATAGGAGTTGGTTGTACAGGACACATTATATATACATGCAACCTCACAAAACTTGCATGTTTCTTTTTTTTTTTTTTTCAGCTGAATAGTTTGAATTCTCCTACGCATTTGCTGGCATGGCTGGTGGTTGACTATGCTAAGGGTTTCGACCGCGGCCAAAAGGCGTTAAGGTGGCCCGCTCGATTACATGGCCAACGGGCGGGTTTAGCACAGCGCAACCCTATGTAGCTTATGCGAGGTCAATCTAATAAGCGCTGTTGTCATTCAAGATCGTTAGCGATAAGAGTAAAGCTCTGACCGATTATAAAAAGTGAAATGAGAGGGAATAGTAATACTTGCTTACTCGTTAGAGCCTTACGGGCCCGCCACTTGTAGAATCCTTATTATTTACACCATATTATCAGCGTGAAAACTTTTGTCTTCCTTATATTTCCTTCTATATTTAGTCAACTGCGCAGCCCCTAACTGATGCCCTATGGTTAATCAAGGTCGAATAGACTCACTACATTGCTTGTACGCATTAGTTAAAGCAGGCACATCATTATCTTTTGCTTGCTCCGATACTTCCTCCTCCATCCATCTTCACCTCCTTAACCTTGCCTTTTTTTTTTTTTTTTTCTGAAGCTTTTTTTGCTTTTGTTTTTCGGACAACATGACCCAACCAATGCATGACAGTCGACAGCCTATTGCTATTGTAGGCTTTGCATGTCGCCTCCCAGGTGGTAACTACTCGCCACACAAGTTCTGGGAGTTTTTGGAACGAGGCGAGATTGCATACAACAAGGTGCCAGAGTCAAGATTCAACCATGCGGCTCATTATGATGGGTCATTGAAACCCCGGACCATGCGCCAACCCGGTGGCATGTTTCTCAAAGATATTGACTTGGCGGACTTCGATGCAACCTTCTTCGAGCTACCAGCTGCCGAGGCGACTGCGATGGACCCTGCGCAGAGGCAAATGCTGGAGGTGGTCTACGAAGGCCTAGAGAATGCTGGCATTCCCCTCGATAAGATCAATGGCCAACTTGTCGGCTGTTATGTTGGCAACTACGCCTCAGATTATGCAGACATGGGTGCTCGAGACCCCGAAGACCGAGCGCCTGGCCATGGGCTAGGAATTGCACGCACCATTCTGGCCAACCGCTTGAGTCACTTTTTAAATGTTCACGGACCTAGCATCACCCTTGACACCGCTTGCTCCAGTAGTCTAGTCGGCCTAGACCTTGCCTGTCAGGCTCTGCGGGCAGGTACAATTGATACGGGAATTGTGGCCGCGGCCAATGTGTACATGAGTCCAGAACATCTGATTGATGCTGGCGGCGTTGGAGGAGCACACTCGCCTACGGCTTTGTGCCATACCTTTGACGCCGCTGCTGACGGTTACGTCAAGGCTGAGGCGGTAAACACAGTCATTGTGAAGAGACTATCGGATGCCATTCGCGATAAGGACCCTATCCGTGCCGTGGTTCTAGGTACGGCCGCGAACCATAACGGAAGGACGATGGGCATCGCCAGTCCAAGCGCGGAGGCTCAAGCGATGGCCATTCGCGCGGCCTATGCGAACGCAGGGATCACTGACTTCAATAAGACTGCCTTTTTTGAGTTCCACGGAACAGCAACGCAAGCAGGTGACGCCGCAGAAAGTGAGGGAGTTGCATCTGTCTTCTCTGCGACCCGAGCGGCCGAAAGTCCGTTGATCATAGGATCTGTCAAGAGTAACGTCGGCCATTCTGAGCCAGCTGCTGGCTTGACGGGTCTCATAAAGGCGGTCCTCTCTATCGAGAAGGGGGTCATTCCCGGCAATCCCACTTTCGTTAACCCGAGCCCCAAAAGTGAGTTTTATATGACTGACCCCCGACCACAAATGGATACACTCAGGGAATCCTTTTTTTGCTGATATACTCCTGACAGTTGACTTTGCTGGAAACAAGTTGAGGGCTACAAGAACATTAATCCCATGGCCTAAGGACGCGCTACGGAGAGCGTCTGTCAATTCATTCGGCATCGGCGGCACCAACGCGCATGCGATAGTGGAGGTGGCCAAGGCAGAACACAGATTAAACCATGTATATTCATATCGCGATGCAAATAGTGACTTCACACTGGACGATGATGATGATGATGATGACGACGACGACGAGGAAGCGAATCAGATATATACTCTCGTTATCTCTGCAAACGACAGCGCGAGCCTTGCCGCAAACACCCGAGCTCTCTGCGCTCATCTAATAAACCCCAGTGTGAAAGTCAATCTCGCAGATGTGGCATATACCCTCTCCGAACGTCGTACACGCTTGTTCCATCGAGCGTTCGTATCTACGCGAACCACGGAGCTTCACGAGAATCTGTTCACCGTTGCCAAGAAGAGCCCCAAGGTACCCAACGTTGCATTTCTCTTCACAGGTCAAGGAGCCCAATGGCCTCGAATGGGTAGGGCCCTTGTGGAGGCTGTTCCATGGGTTCGCTCCACGCTGGAAGACTTGGATAGGGTTCTTCAATCCTTACCAAATCCACCCGAGTGGTCCCTTGTCTCCGAGTTGACGGAAGATCGGTCTGCCGAACATGTACGCCAACCCGACCTGGCACAACCGCTGGTCGCTGCGCTTCAGGTGTGTCTTGTGGACGTATTGAGATCGTGGGGGATCAAGCCAAGCAGCGTTCTCGGCCATTCATCCGGAGAAGGCGCCGCGGCCTACGCCGCTGGTTGGATGTCGCGTGAAGATTGTATCAAATGCGCTTTCTACCGGGGCCAAGCGGCCAAGAATATCAGTGATCAGATGGAAACCGATGTAGGTATGCTTGCTGTTGGTGTCAGTGCCGAGGCAGCTGCGCCATTCGTGGAGAAGCACCCCGGCAATGCATACATAGCATGTTATAACAGTCCTACCAGTCTCACCATCTCGGGTAGAACCTCTGCTCTCAAAGCAATCGAGACGGAGCTCAAGGCAGCTGGCCATTTTGCACGGGGTTTGTTAGTTGACATGGCGTATCACACCCCATTCATGGCTGCTGCTGCGGAAGGTTACCAGAAGCTTCTCGACAACGACCAAGAATTTGGACGCCAAGATGGCTCTCAATCTGGCATAGCAATGTACTCTTCGGTGTCAGGCTTAAAGAACGAGACGCGAACGGGATCCATGTATTGGAAAACTAACATGATCTCTCCTGTACGTTTTGATGCCGCACTGGAGGAGATGATCAAGCAAGAGTCTCCTGATATCCTAATCGAACTGGGGCCGGCAGGGGCTCTGGCTGGCCCGGTCGCGCAATTGTTGAAATCTCTGGCCAATGCAGGACACATAACATACTCCACTGCATGGAGTCGCGGGGCCAATGCTAAAAAGTCGCTGTTTGATGTCGCCGGCCGGCTCTTCATCCAAGGCGGCAACGTTGACCTTGCGGTGGTAAATCGGTACAACGACACAACGGTACATACTGTAGTTGACCTGCCCAACTATTCATGGAATCATGCCGTCAAGTATTGGCATGAAAGCGCCTCGAGCAAGGACTGGCGATTCAGGAAGTTCCCTGTTCACGACCTCCTGGGTAGTAAAGTGCTCGGCGCTCCTTGGCACACTCCGGTCTGGCGCAATCGACTGAACGCCAGCAATGTACCATGGATCATGCAGCATCAGATGGGAGGCGATGCCATCATGCCCGCGGCTGGTTACCTGACTATAGCCGTCGAAGCACTCTTCCAGAAGCTCCGTGCCCTGAACCCTGACAAGTGTCCCGCAAGTCCCAACGAGCTCAGCTATTGCTTCCGCAATGTGCGCTTCCAACGAGCGATGGTGGTCGAGGAGAACAAGGACGTCCGCATGATGCTCACCCTCACCACAGTCCCCGGTAGCAAGGACTGGCATGAATTCCGCATTTCTTCCACGTCTGAGGCAGACGTTACTGCGGAACATTGTTTCGGTCTGATTCGTACCCAAGATGCCGTCGACGACGTTTCGCAGCATCTCACACCCCTGAAATCCACCGTCCCGGTCGAGCGGTGGTACAAGGCTACCAGAGATATCGGTATGGGCTTCGGACCTGCCTTCAAGAGAATGCTCCAGGTGGAGTCGAGAAGTGGTGTACGTGCGTGTCGGGTGCTCCTCACGATGCAGCCGCCAGAGTCGGCGCATTCGCCTCAGTCTTACTATCCAGTTCATCCAGCTGCACTTGATGGCTGCTTCCAGACTCCCATCCCCGCAAACATGGAAGGAGATATCGTCAATGTCAGAGATGTCATGATCCCAACGATCGTCGACGAGGTCATCATCAACAAGCTTCCCACTGAACTTAACCATGCTATTGCGGATGCCAGCTCTGTATACTCGGAACGAGGCCGACTAGACCAGGACAAATCCTGGGTCGCCAGTAGCTCCGTTTTCGACTCCCAAAGCGGTGCTTTGATGGTTCGTGTCACTGGCCTCCACTACATCAAGTTGGATGTGCCTCCGAATCCGGACCCTCACACGTTTGACCAGATTAGCTGGGCACCAGATGTCTCGCTCTTGACGCAGGACCAGATGCTGCACCTTGACCCTGTAACCTCAGGCAACCGACTCAACAAAGTCATCGATCTCATTGCTTACAAGAATCCCGCATTGAGGGTCTTGGAGGTCAATCTCGACGAAGAAGATTCGTCGTGCTTGTGGTTTGATTCTGGCAACGCGGCGTACAGACAATCTTACACTCAGTACGACTTCGGCGCGTCAAACAGCAGTCCTCTGGCAAGCGTCTCGGCCAAGTACGAAGGCAAGGAAAACAGCGCCTTCCTCCTCATTGTCCCAGACGAACAGGGTCTCGGCATATCGCCATCTCCAGAGCCTTACGACCTGGCTTTGATCAAACTTTCTAAAACGGCATCCACAGCCGAGGATATCCTGCACAATATTCTTCCCCTGCTGTCTGCCAATGCTTGCACGCTTGTAGTGCGTGCGAGGGATGAGAATGCGGCGACCGCAGAGCAGGATGGATGTGCAGGCGAATCGGATGGATTCGAGCATGTCACCACCGCCGAAACGTCGCACACAGCGTCGGCGGGTTCAGCCGCAGGATCTTCCAGATCAGAGGACGAAAAGGCTTCCAGTTCCATCGATTCAGCTGCTTGGAATCACGATTACCTCAAGCACAACAATGTTGCAGGCCCCATCGAGCTTGGAGACACCACTGAGGATGGACGATCGGCCTATTTCTTGGCACCGACTCGAGCAGATCAGATCAAATCTACCAGCCAGCGAACGCTTGTGGTCCCTCGATTGATCGACGGTGCCAATTCAGCTCTGACGGCGTCGCTTCGATCTAGCCTCGAGTCGGCAGGCTGGCTCGTAGAGGAGCGTTCGGCTCCGTTCCTGAAGCTCGCAGAAGGCGAAATCGCTGTTGTCTTGGATGAATTGACAGGCCCCTTGCTTCGATATGCGAACGAAGATCAGTGGAATGCCATCAAGGCACTGGTCAGCTCCGGCAACCCACTACTCTGGGTCACAAAGGGAGCGCAGTCCTCTGCAACCGATCCCGATCATGCCTTAGTTTACGGTTTGTTCCGCGTGGCTCGCCGAGAAGATCATGGCGCCAACCTCACCATCCTCGACGTGCAGTCCAGCACAGGCCGTGCAATGGAGCTCGCTATCGATCAAGTGCTTCGATTGTTGGCTGCAGGTGCGCTGACGGAAAGCGAACTCATGGAGCGCGAAGGCGTCCTGCACATCCAGAGAGTCATTCCCGATGTGCCCATCAATGAGTTCAAGCGTGCCGAGACCCAAGGGCTGGAGGTCATTCCCAAATCATTCCACGGTAATGAGGTGCAGGTGCAACTGAGAGCTGAGCAGCTAGGCACACTCGAGGGTCTGACCTGGTGCGAGACAGAAGTAACTGAGCCCGCAGTTGAAGAGGACCATATTGAGGTTGAAATCATGGCGGTCGGTGTCAACTTCAAGGACGTTGCCGTGACCATGGGGATCGTTCCCGATAACGAATACAGCCTCGGCTACGAGTGCGCTGGTGTTGTTCGACGGCTCGGGCCAGCAGTGAAGAAGTTCCATGTCGGCGATCGTGTGTGTATGATGAAGCAAGGCAGTCACGCAAACCGTATCAGAGTCCATATTGACCGCTGCCACGTCATCCCGGATACGATGAGCTACGAGGATGCTGCCACTATTCCATGTGTATATTTGACATCTCTCTACGCCTTGTATCACTTGGCAGGTTTGCAAGAAGGCCAGGTAAGCTAGTCTTGGTACTGAATCGTTTGTTTTGACGACTCACGCTCACACAAAAACTCGGTTCTGCAGTCTGTCCTCATTCACTCTGCAACGGGGGGCATTGGTATCGCTTGCATCGAGCTCGCTCGGCACAAGAAGGCAGAGGTAAGCCCAAGCCAAGTCTCATGCTGATGAGTCCAATTTAACTCGTCCTGTGTTTTACTACTTAGATCTACGTGACCGTGGGCACGGAGGAGAAGCGCCAATTTTTGGAAAAAGAATACGGCATCCCAAGAAGCCGCATGTTCTCTTCTCGGAACACCAAATTCGCAAGCGAAATCATGCGAGAGACCAATGGTCGCGGCGTCGATGCCATTGTCAACTCACTGGTTGGGGAACTGCTTGATGCTTCGTGGAGAATTATGGCAGATGGTGGCACCATGGTCGAGATCGGCAAGAGAGATATTGTGGACCGAAACACTTTGGCCATGGAACCTTTCGACAGGAACTGTTCATTCCGAGCCATTGACCTCTCTTACACCAAGCACTTCAACGAGAAAATTGTAGCAAGGTTTGTCTCACTCCGACTTTACACACACACACACACACTCTCTCTCTCTCTCTCTCTCTCTCTCTCTCTCTCTCTCTGTCTAGCAAACCGAGCGCTAACTGTAGACCATATAGGCTCCTGACTGAACTTTTTATTCTCATCAACGCAGGTCACATCAAACCGATTCATCCGGTCACCACGTACGACTTTGAAGAAGTCCCCGCAGCCCTGGCCTTCATTCGCACTGGACGTCATATTGGTAAGGTCGTGATAACAAACAAGAATGACAGAGAGATCATTGTGCCCACACGACCCGCCATCCGTGGACTCAGGTTATCTCCAGATGTCTCGTATCTCATTGTGGGAGGTCTGAAGGGCCTCTGCAGTACGCTGGCTGTGCACATGGCACAGCATGGTGCTCGACACATTGTCATTAGCAATCGCAGCGGTATCAGTGATGAGGCGTCGGCTGAGATTGTGCGAGACTGCATGTCGTATGGATGCCGGGTGACTGAGGCCAAGGGTGACATTGGAAACATGGATTTCGTGAAAGGTTTGGTGCAAAACACCTTTCCAAGGATTGGTGGCATTGTCCAGGCAGCCATGGCGCTGAACGTAAGTGCCTATAGCCCCAGGGGAGGGGCGAACAAGTATATTTACTGGTCAACTTCTAACACCATGATGCGCAGGACACGAGCTACGAGTCGATGACCCAGGAACAGTACCAGAACACAATCTATGCCAAGGTTGAGGGCACCTGGAACCTGCACAATGCCACTCAAGAGCTGTTGAAGCAACCTCTGGACTTCTTCACCATGCTCTCAAGTACCTCGGGCGTTGCAGGTCGTGTAGGTCAAGCCAACTATGCCGCTGCCAACACATTCCTTGATGCTTTCGCCAGCTGGCGGCAGCGCCAGGGTCTATGTGCCAACTCAGTCGATCTTGGATTGATCGAAGACGTTGGATATGTTGCCGAAGACGAGACGGGTCTGGATGCGAAGATCAACAGAGCCCACTGGATCCCTATCAACGAAAGCATGTTACGCCGCATCTTCACCTACTCCGTGTTGCAGCAAGATAGACATGCTCCGATCAACCAGAAGACCTCTGCTCAATTAGTAACTGGAATTGCCTACCCATATCCGCAAGACGGATCGGACACTTCGCTCAACCCCCGCTTTAGCCATTTGTGGTCTTTCCGTGGCGCTGGACGCAAGGGAGGCGCGGACAGTGGCAGCGGCAGCGACGACATCGACCAAGGAATTCGCGCTCTACAATCGTTGCACAAGTCAGATGCCGATACTACAAGTTTGACAAAAGCTTGCATCCAAGTCATTTGCTTGCAGTTTGCACGCATTTTGCGACTCAGCGAGGAGGTAGAGCCGGGCAAGTCACCCATGTCATATGGACTTGATTCGTTGTCGGGTGTTGAGCTGCGCAATTGGGTACGACACAAGCTTGACGTTACGCTGAGCACTCTGGATATCGTCAATGCCCCTTCTTTACTGGCTCTGGCTGAGAAAATTGTGTCAAAACTCTCGTCATAGTGAGTGTGTGGAACATACTATGTATATAATTTGGTGCCACCTTTCGGGATAAGGGGAAAGAATATAGAGACATGGCATATGACGTGAGAGCTAGACGTATGTAAAGAACTGATGAATTGACACAAGCCTGATCCTGAGATATAATCCATCTTAGTGTAATTGTATGATGATGATCCTTTTTTAAAAACATAAAGTATCGCCAGGAAGCCCCTATGTGTATTCCATCTCTGCCACTTCGCGTGGCGTTGGTCAGTCAGGGCTCCTGACATGCATGATTTAGTTATTTCCTTACAGTAGCTGGACCTATTCAGCCCCTGAACCTTTAGTTGGGGGACCACGAGATTGAGAAGGAGGGCTAGAGCACCTTTAGATAGGAATATACTGGGTTTCTAGTGTTGTCACGGATGACGATTATCTTCTAACCCGGGCTACTCCAGAACAGACACAGAGAGCGCCATCACACTACTTGTCCACTGCTTGGATCGTCAGAAGGTTCTTTCTTTCGTGCCATGACCCACATAAACTCGGTATCATAGTCTGGATCATCCTCCTCCAACTTCCCATCGCCAGCCTGTAATACTTCCACCTGCAAGACCTCAAATCCGACTTCTGTTAACATTGCTCGATTCTGATCCACATCATAGCTACTCCAGAACATTCCATGTCCTAGGAATTCGCCATGGATTTCTTCTTCGTCGATAGTCGCAAGATTCAAAACGAAGACACCTCCGGGCTTCAACCAATCATAGATCGTGGTCAGCATCGCCTTCAGCTGCGACCGTGGAAGGTGGAATAGCGCAAAGAAGCTAATTACACCATGGAAGCTCGCAGGCTCAAAAGTAAGGGAAGTCATGCTGCCTGCAACCAGCTTAGCCCCGGGGCAACGGGCCTTAGCCAACTCAAGCTGCTTAGTTGAGATATCATTTGCGACCACTTGAGCGCCGTGGTCGAGAAGCATTTTCAAAATAGGAACTCCGGGACCGCAACCAAGCTCTAGAATAGAGGGTGACGGTTGCAGCTTGTCTAGGAGCATCTGGGTATATCTTTCTCGCGGTGATTTCTGACTCGTCGCCCACTGCAGGTACCATTCTGTAATATTGTCGTAGGTGTGTTCAACAATACCTTCAGGGGTGTCCGACATCTTGCCGCAGGACTAGATGTAAAGATTGGTAGGAAGGAGAAGTAGATATATCGTGTTAGAAGACAGGGCAGTAGAGAGATTGTTTAATGTGCACTTGGGACCTGTAGCTGAACTGTTGGATACCGACGAATACACTCCCAACTGGGTAGATACCTTCTATATGAGGATACTGTATATAGCGGTAGATTTAAAAAAAAAGAAGATCATCGATCTCTGGGGCTCCGATTGACTGGAGGCAGTAGATCGATTGAGTCATAGAACAAAGGGAAGCCTTGATTGTATTGACTGTGCGTCAGGTGATCGCTTGTCTATCTATTCATATTAAATTAATTCCATCAATCATGAACCTGATTACATCACGTGCACCTTGAGTCACCGAACGGACAGCGCTAGTTTAACTAACGCAGGTTGCTTACCTGCTTGCTTATGCTTACTTCGTACTCCTTACTAGTGTCCCTTCTTGCCCATCTTCTTACTCACCTCTAGACTTGTTTATCGATTTACTTCCAAGGCCGATGACTCAGGCAATGACTAGTACCCCGCTGATCAACTACCCGACGTGACTCAAAAAGTTACCAACAGTTGGAGTCTAGAAGTATTTTTCTTCATTCACGGTATAAAGCATTGAATTCTATTACTTTAATGCATCTATGCAATAGGCTACTCTTGTGTTGATATATTCCGAATTCGACCTGGAGCAAGTCAGTACCTTCTGTTCCTTAGGGTCGGTTGAACCGGTGCCTTTTGTTGACCATGGACGCAGTTGAGGACTAGACGAGGACTACCTTGCCTCGATTGTCCTGGTTAGGGCTAGCCTTCTTTTAAGGGTAAGGCACGTAAGCAGCGCTTTTCAAGCTCTCCACTGGGTTAAGACACGAATGGATGTAGGGTTTTCTCAGAGACAAAGACTAGAAATGAATCCTGGGGATATTGGATTTCTCGCAGTTAGGTCCAGTGGATCCCCTCCCATCGAGAGAAGAATCCGCGAGTGTCGTGCTTGTTGTACCTATGGGGGAGAGGAAGCCATTGTGTCGCCCATATGGACAAAACAATATTAGCCGACGATCGAGGGAAGTGAAAGGAAAGAGAAGAATTCAACGTCACTTATTTATATATTATTATCTTCTTTCTTTGTTCCTTCTAAGCTTTACTGGTGATTCGCCTCCGAGGCGATTCCAATCAGTCGTCTTGCAACAGAGAAAACCCCCCAAGGACACCGTGATGACCGGACTACTTGGTTTAGATAACGAATCAACGGGAAGCTGAGATATCGAGACAGTAAGTATCAGGTTCAACAGATGGACTATTTCTTACTTCTACCCGTACAAGAAAACATGCATACAAAGAGCAAAGTCCATCCATCAAGCCCAATCCATGCTACCTTGATTGATACACTCATCCTCCATTTGTAAGCCTCATCTCTTGTACATACTTCACAACCAGTAGTTATTCGGCTCTTTCTTTAGGGTCTTCGCTTAATATCTGCCTCGTGGGCGATAGTTTGAGCTATAAGGCCTCTCTCATAGGTTGGGACTCTGAATCCCTCCTACAGATTACCCATGTTTAGCTCAGAGAACACGGATCAGGGTAAGGTGACATAACTCTGCTGCCCCTCCCGCATTACCATAAGGACAGTTAAATGTCTTGATAAACAGTAATCTGTATGACAGGATGTGCCCTGGGAAACCCTGAAACTATTTTCAAGATAACCTTTCATCGGATATTCTCACATCCAGAAACCTTGCCTTTGATGGGCCTCGTCATCAGCACCTCCTTCTCACATAACATGTCGAGGTATATCCACAAACGCACTTACACACACAGATGTTCATTAGCTGACTTTCATCGTCTGTTCCAACCTGCTGATGACCGTTTTCCCAAGACAGCTCGTCGGATAGTGAGCGAAATTTTCGTTCCTATAAACCAAGAACTTTCCATGGCGAATGTGTCTGGGTCTAGCTTTCGATTTTGCTGGGAGACTAGTGATTTCAGAGTGATTTTAGGGCAGTGACGCATCCTAGATGTTAACGAGAAAATACAATTGCTCAGGTTAAACTTCCATTCTCGGCTCTTAAGAGTCATCATATATGATAACCATCGTATCTTTGGTGGTAGGCCAGTTGTTTATGTATTGAAAAGCGAAGGTCGGAATCTGATTCCTGGTGTAAATAATCTAGCAACCCAAGAACACGCACTTGAATTCACGTTGAACCAGAGCCGAAAATCATACCGATGGACAAAGTCTCATTTTATCCAAGTCACAGTAGTCTACTCATATAGGCTTAGGGGTGGTTGCAATGATCAATCTCAATTCTTTGAGGGGCCAGTGATCCTAATCTGAGTGTGATCTTATAAGAGTAGTAAAGGCTCGAACCAGATTACAATATAATTAAATTTGAAGAAGTCGAAAATAAGCGAATAGAATAAATGGAAATGTGCATCATACGTGTACCACTAAACCCCTAGTCGAGACCATCGATATCAGTTTCATGAACATCCCATCAACACGACCCAGACTTCCCCAGTTGTGAGACTTTGGTCCCCACCTCAGATAGACTACTGGAACTTCCTTCCCTCCACCTTAACCACCGGCCCATCATAGTGCTTCCTCGCATATGTCCAATACACAATCGTTGAGATTCCCATCAGTCCCACGAACAACACCGACGCCCAGTTGAAGTTCTCAGCATTGACATCGTACGCATTGGGCCAGAAACTCCAGAAGAAAGACCAGCTGGCATACACCATGGCCAAGATGTTAACGGGCATACCGAAGCGTCCCAGTGTCCATCGGGAGGGTGGAAGCGGTGGATCGCAGGAAATGCGCCGCGCAATAATACAACCGATGGAGATGAGATAGGTGGCCATCAACGCAGTGGTCGATAGGGAGAGCATGGCATTGAACGCGACGGTAGAGCCAATGTTAATGAGAGACATTGCCATCGAGAAGAGACAAGTGACAATGATAGAGTTGACCGGGATGTGTAGTCGTGGGTTAACCTAAAGAATGCTATGTGTAAGTTATAACGAACAACAACTAGACATTAGATTAGGGTTAGGATAGGACCTACCTCTCCTAGCCAGTTTGAAAAAGGTAGGCCATTGTCGCGGGCAAAGGCAAATGTCTGACGCGAAGCCGATGCCAGAGAGCTAATCGTGATCATGACAATCAAGACAAGCACAATCACCACAAGTATAGTCGCGCCGGCAGTATTGTCAACTGCCTGGCGGAAGACATGGATAAAAGGGAATCCCGTGGGAGAGTCGAGAGCACTTTGCACGTCGGGCATACAGAACAGATAGGTGAGGAGCAGGCCAAAGGCGAAGGGGATGTTCAGGAGGAACGCCCAGATCATCGACTTTGGAACGATGACGCTGGCATTTTCAATCTCTTCCGCTATCGATATATCAGCAAGAAGCTCTGTACGATGTGCCAAATGTCACTTACACATGTGTGCAACAGAGTCAGAACCTAGAAAGGTAGAACGTAAGGATTAGCTGCTACAAAAGGTCTGAAACTCCAAGGTGCAGCTCTCACCTAACACGACAAACATGCAAGATACTTGGCCGACCATGACTGTCCATGAGACAGATGGCCATCCGGAACCATAATCTGTAAACCCAGTGAAGACATCTTCTGCCTTTGCCTTTGGAGCGAGAACAAGCAGGGTGACAATCACTGGAATGAAAGCAAAGAAATGACAGGTAACGAAGATCCCTTCCGCCAAGGGCAAATGCTTCGCACCGAAGATATTGAATAACGACATGCCGATCGCTGCAGCAAAAACAAGCAATGTTCCCTGCCAGCGCGCTGGCGAGTAACTGTCATCATTCAATGAGATGAGACCTTGTACTATCGTTCCAGCCAGGTAAGCATCAAGGGCGACGATGCTCTGCCAGGATATCGTTGAGAGCCATCCTATCCTACTCAGTACAGAACATGGTTGAGACTCATCTACAATGTACTTACCAGAGGCATAACTGAGAAACTTCTGGTAGGCCCGAGGAGCGAATTCGGAAACCCACTGGCACACATGTCAGCGGTGTCTAATAGTTACTTTTTTATATACATGACTTACATGGTACTGTCCGCCCGCGGTAGGTGCCCTAGACATGGTTAGATCACAATCCAAAGAGTTCAAAGAGTAGCAACTCTGCTTACATGGATGACATCTCCGCCATGGAGAGCACGATGAAAAGCTGCCCGCAGTATGCCCATACTAGGGACCAAAACAGAGCAGGTCGTCCACCAGCTGTCAGACCTGGAGTATTGGAGCTGGCTTCGCATTAGCCTCCAATGCTGAATCAAACGTGTGAGACGGGAAGTGTACGTCAATAAGATCTCCCATGTACCCATGACACAAGTCGTGAAACCGATGGTGCTGGCCATGCGGAAGTTCCTCTATATGTTGAGTCAGTACTATCGGAAAACCATACGCCCCAGGATATACAGACCCGTAGCTCCTGCTTCTTGCCCATGCGCTGCATGTCCCGTTGATCGTTCACGGTGAAACCTGTCTTAACATCGTCGGACAAGTCGGGATCAAGAGAACCATTTCTCTCTTCTACATGTGGAGAACGGGCCGAGCCGACCTCCTTCAATTCCAGCTGTCCACTGGATAACATATTGACGGAGAGATAGAGGGCCTACAACGAAGGTAAGAGAACTGGGTGAGTTGGTAGAGAGAGAGAGAGAGAGGGTGTTGTTGAGTTTGCTCTTTTTTTTTTTTTTTTTTACATTCTTCTCTGGCAGTTCCGAATTCAAATCACAACGGGGCTAAAAACATGTACGTAAATAGTGCAGGAAACTATAAGGAACGATGAAGGGTTTGGACAGGGGGTTATAGTGGAACTTTTCTGTCAAGGTTGCGCCAAAACGGTTTTGACAGTCTAGGCCGGCGAGTTAGGGCACGAATGGGCTCACTAACCCGTATAACGTTGCATTTAACTACTAATAGATACAGGATCGCCCCGCCACGAATGGGATCTGCCGTGCAAAAATCTTCCGAGCCAAGATCCTAGTGACAAATGTGTAACTCCCGTCAAGGTAAGTCTTTTCTCTGACATGGGGGCGATTTTGTCGTGGGTTGTCTGTCTCTGGTCCAACGGCTGTCGTTACGACTCCGTGTTGGCTTTTGAATATTGACAAAATACCAGTGAAAGAACAAACGGAGAAGTGATAAGAAAGACAGGTCTTTATAGGGAAAAAGCATTGAAATGATATCCATTTATTACATTTTAGGGAAACGTCCAACCGACGAAGTTTATGCGCCTACTGCCCATGGCACTG